TACGCAATAGTCCCTATGTGTCATTGTTGCCTAGGGAACCGTGGGCGTGGCCAAGTTACGCAAAGGCGCGTGTTATGTCACTCTAGGCTTCAGCCGCGGTCCACCCAGGCAGCGGCCTCCCATCCGAAAGTCACCGGGCTGGTGAATGCGGGACCCCGCAGGGTTCTGGAGAAGTCGCTGTCGGAGGCGACTATGGGGAGCCGTGCTCCGGCTCGGGCCTCTCCGCGTCCCCTCAGGCCCCACGGGGGCAGTGGGCGCGGGTCGGAGGCCGTAGCCGGGACCCCGCTTCCCGTCCCGGTCCGGGCCTGAGCGACGACCGGGACCCGGCCGCCGCGGCCCCAGATCCCCTGGGATGGCGGGAGAATCGTGGAGAGCTCGCCTCAAGGCCCAGAGTTCAAGTCCCACAACCGACAAAAGAAAAATTCATTCAGCCAGGAGAATTTCCGCATTTCCCATGACGCCAAGACAATGTGGTCAGGCAGATTTCATCACAAATTGGATTTCCTGGCTTCTTGCATACAATGATAAGAATAGACGGACACAAAAATCAGATGAGGTGACCGCAACATCGTAGTGCACACTTGTAACCCAGCACTTGAGGGGCTCAGGCAGGATCTTGAGTAACTCATGGCAACCAAAACAGACAGTAAGTGTTTGGCAACTCATGGATCTGAGGAGAGGACACACATTCTCACAGACACACACACACACACACACACACACACACACACACACACAAGGTGCTGATGGCTCTGGCCTGAAATCTTACTCAAGAGGCTGAGATCTGAAGATCGTGGTACAAAGCCAGCCAAGAAAGAAAGTCCCTGAGACTCTATCTCCAGTGAACTACTCACAAAAAGCCAGAAGTGATGCTGTGGCTCAAGTGGCAGAATGCTAATCTTGAGCACAAAGACGACAAAAGACAAAGCTGAGTTCAGGGCTGGGAAGGTGGCTCAGTGGTAGAGTGCTTGCATGAGGCCCTGGATTCGATTCCTCAGCACCACATAAGCAGAAAAAGCTGGAAGTAGCACTGTGGCTCAAGTGGTAGAACACTCACCTTGAGCTGAAGAGCTGAGGGACAGCGCCCAGGCCCAGAGTTCAGGCCCCACAACTGACAAAAAAAAAAAAAAAAAAAAAAAAACAGTTCAAGCCCTGGGACTGAACAACAAATCAGTTTTTGATTGGTTGTTTGGAGAGATTTAGTTTACAACAGAGGTTCACCATGAGGCCCAGGCTGGCCTGGACCTTGTAATACTCCTGCTGGGATTACAGGTGTACACTTTACAAGAGCTCTAAAAAGAATGTCTAATCTTTGTCAAATTTGTCAAATAATAAACAAGCATTAAGAATGTGTCTTTTTTTTTTTTTGGTCCAGTCGTGGGGCCTAAACTCTGGGCCTGGGCGCTGTCCCTCAGCTCTTCAGCTCAAGGCTAGCGCTCTACCACTTGAGCCACAGCGCCACTTCCGGCTTTTTACTTTTTGCTTATGTGGTGCTGAGGAATCGAACCCAGGGCCTCGAGCATGCAAGGCAAGCGCTCTACCACTGAGCCACCTTCCCAGCCCTCTTTTTTTTTAACCGTAGCCCTGTACCCAGGAGGCGCTGGCAGTCAGCTCCCAGATGTGACCAAGGCCAGCATGGGAGGGAAAGCATATGAATGCCGCCTCTGTGGGAAAGCCTTCAAGCTCCATTCTTCCCTTAGGAGGCCCGTCAGATCTCACCCTGGACCTGGTCATCTGAGGGGTTAAGTGTGGAGAGAAGCCGTACACAGGTAAGGAGTGTGGGATCGCCTTCAGTTCCTCAAGTCCTTTTAGAGACAGAAGAGCGCCCACACCGGGGAGAAGCCCTACAAGCGCAGCCAGTGCGGGAAGGCGTTCGTGCAGCAGCAGCCCTGGCAGACCCACGAGCATGCGCACACGGGGCGAAGCCCCCGCTGTGAGCGCTGCGGCAAGGTGCTCAGCTCTCACCAAAGGATGCACGCGGGGGAGAAGCCTTATGAGTGTGCAGCGTGGGAAAGCCTTCAGCTGCCTCAGTTCTATTCAAATCCACGCGCCAACCCACACCGGAGAGAAACCCTATCGATGTGGAGAACGTGGGAAAGCCTTTGTCTCCTGCACGGGCGTGCCAACACACATGCTCACACACAGTGGAGACAGACCTCACAAGTGTGAGGCGTGTGGGAAGGCCTTCATTCGGCCCAGTTTTCTACGCATCCACGAGCAAATTCCCACCGGAGAGAAACCTTATGGATGGCGACAATGTGGCAAAGCCTTCCGGGGTTCTGCCTCTGTTCAGATCCACAAAAGAACTCACACTGGTGAGACACCCCACGAATGCCAGGAGTGTGGGAAAGCCTTCAGTGCGTGGCCAGCCTTTCCAGTCCACGCAAGGGCCCCCAGGGAGAGAAGCCCTATGGACGCAGAGAATGTGGGAAAGCCTTCAGCTGCCTCAGTTCTATTCAAATCCACGCGCAAATCCACACCGGAGAGAAACCCTCCGGATGTCAACAATGTGGGAAGACTTTTCAATTATCCTCTGGCTTGGAAATCCACGAGAGAAATCACACGGGAGAAAAACCCTATGAATGCAAGCAGTGTAGAAAGCCTTCATTTCTCTGGAGAATTTCAGGAGACACGTGACCGCCCACACTGGAGGTGGACGTCACCAATGGAGAATGTGGGAAAGCCTTCATGTTCCTCAGTGCGTTTCGAAAGGATGCACACAGGTGGAAAACCATACACACGTACACGGTGTGGCAAGGTGTTCAGTTGTGTGTTACATTCAGATACATGAGAACGCACACTGGAGAGAAGCCCTATGAGTGGAAGGAGTGTGGCAAAGTGTTCATATATCCCACCAGCTTCCAAGGCCACCTGAGAATTCACATGGGGGAGAAGCCCTACTCACATAAGGACATGAAAGAACTCACAGCAGGAAGAAGCTTGTCCAGTGTAAGCAGAGGGGGAAAGCCTTCACTTTGTCTACTTCCTTAAATAAACACAGGAAGTTACACACCAAACAGAAACAATGACCACTGAGTAGGGGAGCATTTTTAAATTTCTACTTGAAAATGCCCATTATGGAGAAATGCTGTACATGTAATAGAGCCAGCACCAGTAGCTCACCCCTGTAATCCAGGAGACTAAGATCTAAGGATCGTGATTTGAAGCCAGCCCAGGCAGTAAAGTCTGTGAGACTCCTGTCTCCAATTAACCAGCATAAAACTAGGAATGGTGCTGTGGCTCAAAGTGGTAGAGCACTAGCCAGGAGCAAAAGAGCTCAGGGACAGTGCCCAGGCCTTCAGTTCAAGTCCCACAACCACCACCAACAGCAACAACAAATACACACACACACACACACACACACACACACACACACACGAAGCTAGATACAAGGTTAATTCATATAAGATGGGTCCAAACATTGAAACACTGAAAGAAGTATAAAAGTCAAAAGATTTTTTTTTTTGGGTCCGGTCGTGGGGCCTAAACTCTGGGCCTGGGCGCTGTCCCTCAGCTCTTCAGCTCAAGGCTAGCGCTCTACCACTTGAGCCACAACGTCACTTCTGGCTTTTTTCTTTTTGTTTATGTGGTGCTGAGAAATGGAACCCAGGGCCTCATGCATGCAAGGCAAGCGCTCTACCACTGAGCCACCTTCCCAGCCCAAAGTCAAAAGATTTTTATCACTGCTTTTTTTATTTTTGCTGGTCCTGAGGCTTGAACTCAAGACCTGGGCTATGTCCCTAAGTAGCTTTTTCTCAAAGCTAGCACTCTACCACTTGAGCCACAGCTGCAGTTACAGCTTGCTTGCTTTGTTTTGGTGGTTCATTAGAGATAAAAGTCTCACAGACTTTCTGCCTTGGCTAGCTTCAAACTGAGATCCTCAGATCTCAGCCTCCTGAGTAGAATTACAGGCATGAGCCACCAGTACCCAGTTCACTGCTTCCTTCTCCAAGTTTATCTTTGGATTTCTTCTTTTTTTTTTTTTTTTCTTTTTGTTGGTCGTGGGGCTTGAACTCTGGGCTTAGGCACTGTCCCTGCGCTCTTCAGCTCAAGGCCAGCGCTCTACTGCTTGAGCCACAGCGCCACTTCCTGTTTTCTGGTGGTTTTTATTGGAGATAAGTGTCTCATGGACTTTCCTGCCCGGGCTGGCTTTGAACCTCAATCCTCAGATCTCAGTCTCCTGAGTAGCTAGGATTACAGGCATGAGCCACCGGCGCACGGCTTGGATTTCTTCTTATTTCAGCAAAGATTCTTCAAAATGAGAGAATTCTGTAAATACTCCTAAGCAATCATTTAAACACATGTGTTGATGTATTATTAAATCAATAAGATTTTATATTTCTAGCTCAAAAGTTGACCCCTGGGCAAATTGAAATGTAATCCAATTCAATTTGAGGATGTTTGAGGGGTTGTTCTTTGTTTTGTTTGCAGTACTAGGCATCAAACCCAGGGCCTTTTACATGCAGGGTAAGTGCTGTAGCACTGAGCTACACCCCAAAGAATCAGCATAAGTGTGTTGAATGGTAACCCTTTGTACAGTTGCTTAAAGATAATTTAGAGGGAAAAGAAATCAGCATGTGAAGAATAAGAACAAGCACAGGACAACGGACAACTCTGGGACCCACATCCCAGCGCTCTAGAAGCAGAAGCAGGGCAATCTCACATTCCAGGCCAGCCTGTCTACAGTGAGACTATCTCAAAACACGATGTTTCAGGGAGTCTTATCCAGCAGACCCCATGTAGTGTGACAACTAGACACCTTCCTTAGGCATCTGGCCTTGCCCGATGCTCCCTGTTTGGGGAAGGTAACCGCCTAGTCCGTTCCCCGTGGTCTGACCACATGCCCTACATTGTTACGCCTAATAGGAATTAGTTCTCCTTGTCCTGGTTCTGATGAAGGCATCAGCCGGTCCCACATAAGGTGAAGGCTGTTTGCTGCCCTTTCTGGGTCACGCATTCTGCTCCCCCCAGAAAAGCAACACACACAGTCACTACAAACGTGGCTCTTAGTATTAGCATTTTAATGGCTTTTGTGAGTGGAAGCAGCTAGGGGAGGAGGGGAGGCCTGCCCCTCTCCCAGCAGCCCTAGCTGTCCCTTTTCCATTGCACTTGGGCCAGAAAGGTTCGGATCTCCATGGGCTGCAGGGTGACTGAGGCAGGGTCCAGGACGGGCGGAGTGGGGTGGGCGACGGGGCCTGTGATGAACAGGAGGGAAGGGATGAGTCTGGGATGCCCCATTAGGCACCCGCCTCTGGGCTGAACACCTCCACACCGTCCAAATATGTCCTCAGCCTCACCCCACCCCAAGGAACCCCTAGTCCCCCCTATTTTAAGCTCCTCCTCTTACAGCCTGACTGACCCCAGAGATGGCAGGCACCATCCCAGAACCACACTGGCAGACTCTTAAATCCTGGGTGCACTACTAGTCTACAAGGCCTATTAGAGGAGGGGGGGTAATCAATGCTTGAGCTCAGGGCCTAGGCACTGTCCCTCAGCATTTTACTCAAGACTAGCGTACTCTACTTGAGCCACCGCTCCACTTCTGGCTTTTTGCTGATAACTAGGAAAAAAAAAAAGTCTCCTGGACTTTGCTGCCCTGGCTGGCTTTGAACCTGGATCCTCAGATCTCAGCCTCCTGTGTGGCTAGGATTACAAGGCGTGAGCCACCAACCACCTGTGACCCTTAAACCCCCAGCCTGGATCTGCTGACCCCAGGAAGGAGCCCTGCTAGGTCCTACGTCCGCACCAGTATCTGGTGTCCACTTGAGCCTGGAAGCGCTGGCCCGGGGCTGGTTGGCCGCCAGCGTGGTTTCCTGCAGGCGGATGATGGTGAAGGCGGAGAACAGGTTCTGCGGGACGCAGATGGGCCGTTTTCATCTCTGGCCCTCTCTGGCCCCATTCCCATCTCTGCCGCACCTCCGCCCTCCTCACCTGCAAGTCCAAGGTCACAGGGGCGCTCAGGTTGCGGCAGGAGTCCTCTCCCTTGGCGAACTGGTGCTCCAAGCGCAGCAGCACCGTCTCTGGGCCCCAGCGGGCCAGTGTGAGCAGGTGCACCGAGGGTGGCAGCTCCCTGTGCAGCCCTGAGTACTGCAGGGGGCGGGGCTACGTCAGGGCGGGGCCTCAGCAGAGAGGCGGGGCTCAGGTGCCCTCAGAAGTGTGACTGACAGGGTTGGAAGGGTGTTGGGGGCGGGACTTGGTCAAAGGTGGGCGGGGCTTAGCCCAGGCAGGACCCAGACTCCACCAAAAGGTCCAGGCAGGTCTCTGAAGGGAGACACGCAGCCACACTTAGGAAAACGGGGTCCTAGCTTAGGCTAAGCCCCCGCCGTGCAGGTCAGAGTCAGGTGCAAGTCAGAGGAAGGGGCGGAAATGACCTGGAGGAGCCGGGGCTGGCCCAGGCCGCACAGCCTTGGGCAGGGGAGGGTAACAGGGGAGGCTACTGCGGTGTGGGCAGGGCTGGGTGGGAACCGGGTCTAGGTTGACAATGAGCTGACACAGGGTGAGGTCTGCGCAGTGCGCAGCTGAGACAAGGGGGCGGCTCTGGTCCAAGGGGCTGAGACAAGGGGGCGGGGCAGCCCGTGGTCTCCCCCGGGCTTGTTGGAAGTGCCAGATGGGGTCCCACTTCAGTCCAGCCCTCCACCGCCCTGCCTCCCCTCACCTGAGTCTGAGGGATGGCCTCAGGGTGGTAGGTGGTGCCATGACCGGAAGACAGCACTATTTGGGGGGCCAGGACCACCTCCTCAGCCAGAAGCCGGTGCCCAGCAGCTGCTCCGCCCACCCTGTCCAGAAGTACAAGGTGGCGTCCTCGAACCACCTGCCCGCTCCCCAGCTCCAGCAGCGGCTCCCCGACTCCCCGGGAATCATCCTCCAGCAGCCTTCGGTGCACCTGGGCGGAGAGTGGCCAGGACACGGTGAGCATCTCCAGGGTATCTCAGGGCCAGAAACTTAATAAAGGCTTGTGGAATTTTCAAGAGAAACAGTAGAGGAAAGGTGTGTGTAGTAGTACCTGCCTGTAATCCCAACACTCAGGAAGCTGAGGCAAGAGGATCTTGAGCTCTATCTAGATTAGCCTAGGCCAAGAATGAGACCTTGTCTCAAAGAAACAAAGAAGCAAATAAGAGGAAAATCCATGGTTTGAAGCAGTCTGCACATTAAAAACCAAAGAAATTCTCATCTCCAATTAGCAAAAAGCCAAAGCAGATGGATGATTCGGTAGTAGAGCACCAGCCTTGAGGGAAAGTGCCAAGCACAAACACAAGGCCCTGAGTTCAAGTCCTAGTACTGACATGAAAACAGAATACCCCAAGATCCAGCAGGAAGACAATGGGGACAGAAGCCTGTCTTGGATGCCACCAGCCACTCACCATGAGCTCCAGCGAGCCGTCCTGCAGGCTGCTGCCCCCCTGGGAGCGGTCAGTGAGCACCGTCAGCTGCGTGACCCCATCCTGGGGGCCAGGAGTGAAGGACAAGGGAGAATGAGGGGCTGTCCGTCTGCTCTAGTATTAGGGAGAGGCTGGGAATACAGGGAGACACACACACACACTGCAGGGCGACTACATGAGGAACCGGGTACCGTGATATAAATTCGGCTGTTGACAGGATAATAGTTTCCAGCCACTGGCTCTGTCTGGTTCAGTTTCCAAGTAGGTCGATAATCCCGCCTGGGTCGGGTGATTTGGTCAAATATGGTATCGGGCTCCTCCATTTCTCTCCTTCCCTCCCTCTTTCCTGTGATCAGCAAATCCCCACGCCTCCCTGGAGGCCCAACACTCCCCCCTCCCCCATCCCATGGGGTTCCCAGCCTCCCTACCTCCTCTCCAGGATCTCCCGGCCATTGCTGTCTGTGTAGAAGCGGCCCTTGGTGTTCAGCCGGGTGTCAAAGCGGCTGATGACCTCCTTCCCCCAGCCATCGCTGTGCCCAAAGGGATGGCAAGGTTAAGCCTGCCGGGGCCTTGTTCCCCCACCCCAGTCCCAGCCTGCGCCACTCACTCATGAGGGATGGGTCCCACCGTCCACTCCAACTCCAGGTGGCGCTGTCCTGGGTACAGACGAATCACCTGGGAACACCAGGCTGAAAAGTTCTGGTGTATTTCCTGCACTAAGGCCGTCTACAAAGACCGGGGAGAGAGCAAGTCAGCCTGCACTAGCTCAGGAGAGCCCTGCAAAGGCTCCCCACCCAGTTCTAAGAACCCCAGAGGCCTATGTCAGAGGTCATGCTACCAACCAGCCACCCCTCTCCCACCAGTCAATATTACTGTGTAGATTTTTTTTGGGGGGGGTAATATATTTAAAGTGGGGAATAGAACACACACAGGGCTTCACAAATGGCAGCCAAGTGTTGTGCCAGGAGTTGTGGGGATACAGCCCTAAGCCCAAGATGTCAACTCCTACCAACCCGGCAGGACTGTTGAAGCACTGCACTTGGGTCTCCCCACTCACCCAATTTCCACCATTACATCTAATCCTCACACCTGCAAATGTTGGGACAACTATTTCTTTGATTCCCCCCCCCCCCCCCCCCCCAGTACTAGGGCTTGAACTCCGCATAGGCACTGTCCCTGAGCTGCTTTTGCTCAAGGTCAGCACTCTATCACTTGAGCCACAGCACCACTTCTGGCTTTTTCTCTTCATGTGGTACTTGAACCCAGGGCTTCATGCATGCTAGGCGAGCACTCTACCACTAAGCCACATTCCCTTTTTCTTTGTCAATCATGGGTCTTGAACTCTGGGCCTGGGCACTAGTCCTGAGCTCTTCAATTCAAGGCAAGTGCTCTACCCTTGAGCCACAGAGCCACTTCCGGTTTTCTAGTGGTTCATTGGAGATGAGAGTTTCACGGAATTTCCTGCCCAGGCTGGCTTTGAACCGTGATCCTCGGATCTCAGCCTCTTGAGTAGCTAGGATGACAGGCATGAGCCACCGGCGCCCGGCTGATTTTTTAATTTATTATTGTGCCAGTCTTGGGGATTGAAACCAGGGCCTAGGTGCTCTCCCTGAGCTTTTTTTGATCAAGGCTAGTGCTCTACCACTTGAACCACAGCTCTACTTCTGGCTTTTTGCTGGTTAACTGGAAGTAGGAATCTCACAGACTTGCCTGCTATGGCTGACTGTGAACCGCAATCCTGAGATCCCAGCTTTATAGCACTTGGCTTTATCTATTTTTTTGAGCCAGTACTGGGGTTTGAACTCAGAGCCTTGCATTCTCATTTGGCTTTTTTGCTCAAGGCTGGTGCTTGGTTTACCACTGGAGCCACAGCTCCACTTCTGGCTCTTTGCTGATTCATTGGGAGTTCAAAATATTAGGGACTTTTCTGTCCAGACTAGATTCAATCTGCAGTCCTCAGACCTCAGGCTCCTGAGTGGCTAGGATGACAGGGGTGAGGTACCAGAGCTGGCCGGGTGGCCTCTTACACAAGCAGCTACGAACACTGGCCTTAGAGAAGACCCCTGGGTCTGACCCCATCTCTAAGGAAATGTAAACTCTCTGCATCTGCACCCTCCCTTTGCACATCACATTTCCGGGTACCACCACACCCACCCCCTCCCAACTCCAAATGTCCACTCATCAACCCTGTCTCCAGACCTTCACCACGCGCGTCCGGGCCCAGCGGCTCACGGGCATTGGTCTCTTTTGGCTGGGTCTGAAGATGTAGGCACCAGATGCCTGCCTGCTTTCCTTGTTACCTGTACTGGCGTTGTACCTGCAGCCAGAGCAGAGCAGAGCAGAGTCAAATAAAGGATCTCAGCTCTGCGTGAACCCTTCCACCACCCATGACCCCAGCCCGGTGGTCCTCCCTCACCAAAAGAATCCTTGGTCCACAGGAAGCACGAGTTTCTGGTCTATATTCTCAATCTTCATCAATAACCCTGTGTCAGGGTTGAAGGTAGCCCGGATGTACTGAGCAGGGAAGGGTGGACAATGGGAAATGTCCATCATGTGAGCCAATGGCAACTCCAACCTTCCTTCATCATGATCCTCAATCTAGTCATGGCTCTCCAGGATGAACTGGGGCCCTTGCAGGTCCCCACTTCTGTGTCCCCACACCTGGTTCCTCTTGCTGCAGCCATGTCACACCTGTGACATGCTGAGTCCAATCAAAGCCTTCATCTGCTCCAAGCCACGGCCAGCTTGAGCATTTCACACGGGAGCTGCCCATTAGGACCCTTGAGATTTTTAGGGGCCCATGGAAATATTTTTACTTCTTTTAGAATCCAAAGGAAGCAGGGATGGGATTATAGCTCAGTGGTAGAGTAATTGCCTAGCATGTGTGAGGCCTGGGGTTTGATCACTAGCAACACACACACACACACACACACACACACACACACACACACACACACACAAAACCTATAATCCTAGCAACTTATGAGGCTAAGAACAAGAGGATCGCAGTTCTAGGCCAGTCTGGGAAGAAACCTTTGAGAGATACCTTTTCAACCCAGAGCTAGACACAGGGAGCATCTGTCATCCTAAACTAGAGGGGATGCTGACACTGGAAGGATCGTGGTGCCAGACTAGCCTGGGAAGAAGAGTCCATGAGTCTCCATCACCATGGAAGGAGCTAGGCCTGGTGGTGCTCACCTGTCAAGCAAGTATGACAGGAAGCCTACAGTGGGCACCCAAGCCCAGGTGCAGGCCAGATGGGTTCCGGACCCTGTCTCAAAAATAACCAGTGAAGGGCTAGAGACAGCAGCTTAGCAAGCACAAAGCCCTGATTTTAAACTCCAGCAGACTGAGATCTGAGAATCTAGGTTCAAAGGCAGCCAGGGCAAGAAAGCCCTGTGAGACTCTTATTTCCAATTAATCACCAAAGAGCCAGAAGTAGAGCTGTGTTTCAGGTGATAAGAGCAGTAGCCTTGAGTGAAAAGGGGAAGGGACAGCACCCAGACCCTGAGTTCAAGCCCTAGAACCAACAACACACATACACACACATAAAAAAGAGATAAGAGAATCCAAAGAAAACCTGAATAGAAAATCAATGAACATACTACAAGATGACTATACTTGTCTTCCTAACACCATCATCACAAAATATCATGTTAGGTAATTTTTATGGAAGGTAAAAAGGTACACAGCTAAAAATGCTAAGGCTATGACAGTGTATTCTTGTTTTTGTTTTTGGGGTGCTGGGAATGGAATCCATGGCCTGCCTCACATATGCTAAGTGCTCTACTACTGAACCACACCCCCTACTTCTGAGCCACAACCCTAAGCCTCCACTGCCCCCTTTACCTACCCTACCACCTATTGCCCAGTCACACACCCCCAGCCCGAATCTCCTTCCTTAAAAGTCACTTTACCAGGAAGCTCTCCCCTGATCTCTCTGCCCTAAAATTACACCCCCCCCCCCCACAGTCTGACATCAGCTCTGCCACACGCGTCAAACATCACTGACAGCCACACCTGATCCTCACAACAGCCCCAGGAAACACACTAAGGTTCAGATGAAGCTCACTCAGCAAATCACTCAAGGACACACACAATCATGGAGAGAAAATGGGGTTCCAAAAGGCCCTCACCTCATTCTTGATGACCAAGACCTGGCCTTGGGATATCTGGGGTCTGACAGCCTTTGTGCGGGCCTTGGGGCTCCGGCTGGACACACGGGCTACTGAGTAGATGCTGAAGCCCAACGCAGGCACCCGGGCTGCAAACAGGAGCTCTGAGTGTTCCTCCTGATCATAGAAGCCGGGAAGGACCACCACCTTAAGTGAGAGAGGAGGGAACCAAGTCAAGCTGTGCCAACACCTGTGGAACTCTTAACAGGGGAAGGAGGGCAAGGAGTAGATGGGAAAAAGAAATCGAGGTGTCGTGATTGGCAGGGGAAGATTTCAAGAGAAGCAGGCTGGGGGTGTAGCTCAGTGGCACAGCACTTGCCTGGCATGCCAAGACCGTGGGTTCATCCCCAGCATGAAGCAGCAGATAGAAGGGAGGAAGAACAGGGAGGGAAGAAGGATAAAAGGCGGTAGAGGAGGAGGTGGTGGAAAAGGAGGATTCCCAAGGAGTGGGAGCCTACAGGGAGGGTACAGATGAGGACGTGGGGAGAAGTCATTGAGAAAGGAAAGACTTGAGATCGGGATTGAGCAGTCAGGGAGGAGACCTTCAGGAGTCAAAGGCAATTTCCTGGGAGGAAGAAGACATAGCTGGTCACACCTGTAATCCCCAGCATGTTGGAGACTAAAGGAGGAGGGTTAGAAGTTCTGGGCCAACCTTGGCTATATAAGAAGACAGGCCAGAAAAAGTAATTAAAAATGAAAGAGAGGAAAAAAAAAAGGAAGGGAGGGAGGGAGGAAGGAAGGAAGGAACTAGTAGCCCACATTGGCCTCTACCATACAATCCTTCTGCCTCAGCCTCCTAAGTGCTGTGATTACAGATAGGCACACAAATGTGTGTTAGGTGGGGGCGGGGGAGGGGGGGGTTTAAAAGATGGGTTACTCTTTGGAAGATGTTCCAAAGATGGAGGGGGTGATATTAAGGGACAACGGAGGAATACAGAGAGGGGGACAGATTCAAGGTAGAGGACTCCATAAGCACCAGGGGAGGAATGCCCAGGGAGAGGTCCAAAGTGGGCTTACTGCACTGGGCACAGTCTTGCCATCGGGATCGTTGACAGCAAAAGCGCCTTCACTGACGGGCAGCCGAACCATATGGTCCACCGTCCTCCCCAGGGGATTATATATGATGACCTGGAACTACAGGGGAAGTTGGGAGAGGGCCTGGGTCATATCACATCCTCTTCAAACCCTCCTAGAAGATGGCAAACAAACACACACACACACCCACACACGCCTGGGTGCCTGTAATCCCAGGCTACTCAATAGGCTGAGATCTAAGGATCAAGGTTCGAAGCCAACCCAGGCAGAAAAAGCCTCTGAGACTCATCTGCAATTCACCATCCAAAACAAAGCTGAAAGTGGAGCCGTGGCCCAAGTGGCAGAGAGCCAACCTTGAGCGTTAAAAGCCAAATGAGAGCGTGAGGCTCAGAGCTCAACACACAGCAAATAATACAATAATGCCACCGCCCCATCTTCTGCACCCCAGGCCCAGGCCTTCCTCTGCCTGCCCGGGGGGCCTCGGGCCTTGCTCCCGGGGTCCCACCCCTCCCGGACTCACGCGCGAGGCTGATTGGCTGGGGGGACACACGCTGACGTTGAGGCTCCGGCAGAAAGAGAAGACCTCCTTGAAGCCGCTCAGCCGCGACAGCGCGTTGCTCATGAGAACCTGGGAGAAGCCCAAGCCCCGCCCTCAGCTGAGTCTCCGCCCCCTCCTTGAAGCTCCGCCCCGCTGCCTGGGCTCCACGGGGTTCCCAGCCCCGCTCCACCCCTACAGCCCCTGTAAGCTCCGCTACCTTAGGCCACGCCCCCCGCCCTCTCCACTCATCTCCTCTGAGGCCCCGCCCTGTCCCCCCCCTCCCCCCCCCCCCCCCCCCCCGCTCCTCTCAAGGCCCAGCCCTATAAGCTCCTTTAGGCCCCATCCCATCGCAAACCACGCCCCATACCTTCTGCACCACTTACCCCGCAGGCCCTTCCCGAGGCCCCGCCCTGTGCTGTTCCTCTCAAAAGCCCCGCCCCACAAGCCCTCCCAGGCGCTAAACCACGCCCATACTGCCTCCACCACTTACACACGAGACCTGCTGAGGACCCGCCCCCACGGGCCTTCTAAGTCCCACCCACCGCCCCAAGGCACGCCCACTCATGCATTTGTGGGCTCCTCGGCCACGCCTCTTCCGGGCTCCGCCCCCGCACACCTCGCAGGGCCCCCAGCCGGCCGCCAGCTGCCGCGCGTAGTCGTCGGTCACGTGCTGCTTCGCGGTGCCGCTGACCGCGTCGTGGTGCTGGAGCACGGCCATGGCCTCCTCTGCCAGCACGAAGTCGGGCAGCGTGAGGGCCCGGCAGAACTCTCCGCCCGGACCCCGAGAGACGCGCGAGGGCCGGGGTGTGTTCCCAGGGGCTTCGGGAAGGGACCCCAGGGGCGGCCCGACACCTACGGAGCGGCGCGCTGCTTCCCGCGCCGTACGGTCCCGCGGCGGCCGCCGGGCCCGCCAGCGCCTCCAGCCGATTGCACACCTGGGAAAGGGGGGGCATGCTGGGCACCGCCCCGCCGGCCTCTCCCGGCCTCCCCCGCCCCGCCCCGCGCCCCGCCCCCTCTCCCCCCGCCTCCCCTCCCCCCGCCCCGCCGCCTCCCCCCCGCCCCCCTCCCCCCGCCTCCCACCCACCCCCCGCCTCCCACCCCCTCCCCCCGCCTCCCACCCCCTCCCCCCGCCTCCCACCCCCTCCCCCCCCCCGCCTCCCACCCCCTCCCCCGCCCCGCCGGCCTCCCGCGCCCCGCGCCCTCCCACCTGCAGGAAGTTGTAGCTGAGCCGCTCGTAGCGTTTGAGAGCCGGCCTGCTGGAAAAGTAGCCGGTCCAGAACATGTGGGGGCCATCGGCGTAGGGAAAGAAGTCGTCCTCCTTCACCGACCTGCACAGCCGGGGCTCTGAGGGCAGGAGCGCGGCCCGCCGGGCTGCCACACACCCCTGCTGTCCAGCCCCCACAGCCCACCCCACAGCACCCACAAATACCAGGTGAGATTGGCCTTGTTCAGCTCCCAGAGATAACAAGCAGGAGTGGAGTAGAGAACATGGACGCGGCTCCCGTTCACCTGCTGCTGGAGGGAGACAGATGTGAACCTCTGGCCTCGGGGTAGGGCCTGTGTTCAGCGCTGCTCCCAGGAGTGTGTTCGCTAAATACACGTGTTGGGTGCAAACTAGAGATCAGGTGTGAAAGTGAATCTACGCGTGGAACCAAACCTTACCATCTTTAAAGAATTCCAGAGACAATCCTGAAATTCAGGTGTGTATTTGTGTGTGCTCACACGTGAGCGTGGGCAGACATGCTAGTACTGGGGCTCTAAGCCTCCTGAGTCACTAGGATTACAGGTGTGAATTACCTATGCCTGGCTCAAATATAACTAGGTTGGGTTTTTGGGTTTTTTTCTGTTTGGGGGGGAGGCAGGGATGATCTGGGTCTAGAACCCAGGGCATTGAGCATGCTAAGCACTCATTCTATATCAGAATGGAGGCTTGTTTATTCATTTTTCTCTTTGGCAGTCCTGGGTTGCTTGCTCTATTACTTGAGCTACATTCCCAATCCTTTTTTGCTTTAGTTTATTTTTCAGATTGGGTCTTACTCTTTGTGCCTGGTAGGAACAACAACTTTACTAAAATCTTCCAACCTCTACTTTTCCCATAGCTGAGGTGACAGGTATGAACCACCATGCCCCGCTTGGGGTCTGTCTTTCAACTGCAGGAGAGGAAGAAGCAAGGTAACCTCCATGAGATAAAGGATATTTGCTCTGCTCATGTTGTACTCAAGTGTACACCACAGGTGCTCAGATATTTGTGTGAAGGAATTCCTTTAAGTGTAGACATACTTCCACACAAATACAAGCATACACATACACAGTTATCATTAGGCATTCTTTTTTGTGGGGGAGGGAGGGCAGTACCAAGGCTTGAACTCAAGCCAAGCAGGCATTTTACTACGTGAGCCACAGTCTCAGCCTTCCCACTCAGTACCCTTGTCTAGGACTTCTCCCCAGGTTACCAGAACTCTAAAATGTTCAAATTTCATGCCTAAAATCACTGCCCCTCAACTGGGTGCCAGTGGCTTATGCTTGTAGTTCTAGCTACTCAAGAAGATGAGATCTGAGGATCCCAGTTCATAGCCAGCCTGAGCAAGACAGTCCATGAAACTGAGTTCAAGCACCAGAACCAGCCCCTTCCTCCCCCCCCAAAAAAATGTGTCTGTCCCACCACTTCAAGAAGTGCTGGGACATCCCATCACACGCTGCACCTCCAGCTCTGTAAACCAAAGCCACCCTTTTCTCTAAACCTTAGACACTTACAAAGGTCCAGGGATAGCAAGGTGATTCTCACACATGCGCACACAGGGACCACAGGGCGGGCACACTGACCTCCGCGTTGACCAGACGGATGAGCTTGTCCAGGTTCTTGAACCACAAGTTGGCGTTCTCATATTGGAAGTCGGAGCCCATGGTCATCACCGTGTGCTTGGTGCGGTAGTACTGGCCCTGGAGGCCAGAAGGGAGTCCTCAAACCAGAGTCCTGGACCCCCTATGTCTAGTTGGTTCTCTACATGGCCAAGAATATACAGGGGAGTGGGGCTTGGTGATACATGCCTGTATTCCCAGCTACTTGGGAGCAGAGGTAGGAGGGTCATGGATTAAGGCAAAAGCATGAGACCCTATCAGGGGGATAGGGGAGGAACTAAGGGACTGAGAGCATAGCTCAAGTCGTACAGGGCTTACCCAAGGGCGAGTCCCTGAGTTCAATTCCCAGTACCACCAAAAGAAGTATGTGCATATATGGCACGTGGTCATAGGAATATATAAGTAAAAACAGCCAGAGGGCTGGGCACCGGTGGCTCACACCTGTAATCCTAGCTATTCAAGAGGCTGAGATCTGAGGATCTCAGTTCAAAGCCAGCCAGGTAGAAAAGTCCCCATGAGACTCTTATCTCCAATAAACCACTCAAAACAACAAAAGCGGAGCTGTGGCTCAAGTGGTAAGAGTGCTAGCCTTGAAAAGCAGGCAAGGACAGCTCCCAGGCTCTGAATTCAAGCCCCCCAACCAACTAATAATAATAACAATAACAACAACCACTACCAGTGGTATTTAAGTAGGTCTCGTGGACCCATAACACAGCTAAGGCCACTACATCACTGTGCTATGTTTTGGGGGTATTTCAGTATGTGTTTTGTGTGCCAGGACGGGGGCCTGAACTCAAGGCTGATGCTCTAGCACTTGAGCCACAGCTCCACTTCTGGCTCATGGTCTTTTCCTGCCTAGGCTGGCTTTGAACTGTGATCCTCATATCTCAGCCTCCTGAGTAGCTAAGGTTACGTATGAGCCGCCATCACCCAACTTTTTTAAATTTGTTGTTGTTATTTTAGCAGTACGAGGGACAGACTCAAGGCCTCATGCTTTCCTGGTCCACTCCCACTTGGACCACCACCCTTTTTTGCTTTTAGCTTGTTTTTTTAGATAGGGTCCCAGAATTTTGCCCTGGTCAGCCTTGAACCTTGATTCTCCCATCTCTGCTTCTGAAGTAGCTGGGATTCTAGGCATGCACCGCCATGTCCAGCTACCACGCTGTTTTACCCATGCTTCTACTGAAGGCGACGCGCCATGAGGGAGGTGGCGGTGGTGGTGGGATGGTAGCGTTTGGTCTCCCTCCTCCTACCCCTCGGGCTGCGGCAAGGCCTCGGTGCATGCTCTACAGCCTCCCCAAAGCCCTGGATGCAGGAGTCACCTGAGTCTTAGCCAATTTCAGGAAGTAATGGACCAGCTTGTCGGCGTTGTACTCTGGGCTTTGGGGGTCTTCCACCACAGGCGCGTCCGCACACAGTATATCCCAGCACAGATTGTCCGGTGGGTTGTAACCGTTGGGGAGCACACCTGTAAGCCACACTAGGTTCAGGGGAGGGAGATGCTCATGCCCCACGCCTGCCCTGGGCTCAAAGCCTGCCACGCCCACCCAGGATGGGCTGCACCGCCGGGAAGGCCCGCTGCAGAAGGAAAATGGAGGCTCGTGGGCACAAGTCATTTGAGATTTCTTGTTTCTTTTGATGACTGTGGGGATTGAACCCGCGGCCTCGCGCTGGCCAGCCAGCCGCTCCCGCCCTGAGCCACAGCTCTAGCCCCTTTTGCGTTGCCTCCTTTAGCCGTAGGATTTCAGTTCATCCCCTGGCTGGGCTGGGCCACCTCCCTCCTACTGGTGCCTCCCACGTCCCAAGTCCCTGGGGATGACAGGCCGTGTCAAGATGGAGACCAGTCTCCTATTGCAAACATCCCAATCTCCTCCAGGCCCCAGTACAAAGAGTTCTCAGGAGGCAGGATACCCGCTTAATGATTAATGGTCTTAGGACAGTATTCACAGATCAGTAAGTCAAGCCCAGGAGCCTCCCTTGCTTGGAGCCCTGTGATAGCCCTGCCCCCACACCGGCTCCTCACCCGTGAAGAGGTCAGCCATGGGTGGCTTCAGGCTGCTGCTGCCCCTCCACAACTGCTCCATCTCCAGCTTTCCCTTCCGCACCTGTTTGTCTTGATAATCAAGCCGCCCAAAGAAGAAGCCATCAAAGCCCATCTGGGAGTGGGGTGCGAGGGGACAGATGAGTCAATACACTCCCAGCCTCCAACCACCCAGTTCCCCTGGGGAAGGGTGGATGTGAGCACAGAAACTAAGTACTGAAACTTAGGAGGCTTCCAGTTTGGGAGTTTTGTTCTTTGTGAGGGTAGAGTTATTGGTTCTGCAGGATGGAGCTCTGAATTCAGGGCCTTGCACTGGCCAGGCAGACACTCTACCGCTTGAGCCATGCCACCAGGCCCTTTTGATGCTGCATTCTTTTTTTGGTAGAGTCCCCCTTCCCTTTTTGTCCCTGTCAGTTTCAAACTACCTTTGCCTCTCTCTTAGTTAAGATTACAGATGTGACACTATACCTAATTTATTCCTTGAGGTGGATTTCAGTAATGTTTGCCCTGGCAGGCTTACAACTGCAGGCCTTCCAAGTAACTAGAATTACAGGCATGAATAAAGCCCAGTTCTCATTTTGCTTTTTTGAGATTGGATCTGGCTATGCAGTCCAAGCTAGCCTCACATTAATGATCCTCCTCAGCCTCAAGAGTGCTGGGACTACAGGCATGCACCACATTATCTGGCAAGGTGCCTGAGCTTGGGAAGGACCAGAAGGTTCTGCCGGGCAGCTGAGAGGGAGTAGGCCAGACCCATCCCTGTCCTTCAGTTAAAGCTGAAAGGAGACCAGGCTCTGGTGGCTCACACCTGTAATCCTACCAACTCAAGAGGCTGAGATTAGAGGATCTGGTTTGAAGCCAGCCAGGGCAGGAAAGTCCCCAGGAGATTCTTATCTCCAATTAGCTCACAGTGGTAGAGTGCTAGCCTTGAGCAAAAGAGCTTAGAGACAGTGTCTAAGCCCTGAGTTCAAGCCCCATAACCACCAAAAAGAAAAAAAAAAAGGCTAAGAATGGTGGGTCAGGGGACAGGAATGGGAGCTGGTTTTAGGATCGGGCCGTTTGTTTTTTGAGGTACTGGAGTGTGAACTGCTTGAGCTGGATCTCCAGCTAAGCAGCCGGTCCACCGCTTCAGCCAAGACCCCAGCCCATTAAGGAGGCTGGGTCTGCGCGTGCCACGCGGCTTGGGTGCAACCACGGTCCTGGCGGGCGGAGGGTGACCAGACCCCTGGGCAGCCTGGTGAGGGCGAAGGGAACAACTGGACACTGGAGGACTGCATGGGGGGGGGGCTCAGCAGGCCAGGGTCTCCCTGCCGATGTGGCAGGGGAAGGGCGGGGCCTGACGGCCGGGGAGGAGCCAGTGCGGGCCAGAGGTGAGGCCCAGAGAGGTCAGGATTGCACCTGAGCGAACAGCGAGGCCTGTTCCCGAGAGTGGCCAAAGGGGTCGATGTGCCAGGCCACGCGGGGACGCCCGTCGCTGCCGAACGTGTCCTCCAGAAAGCGCAGCCCGAGGGTCATCTGGTCCACGATGGCGCCGTAGTGGGTGGCCGCCTCGTCGTTCATCACCCAGCCGCCGTTGGCGAACTCCAGGCGTCCTGAGCCAAGAGGCGCGAGTTGGAGCGCGGGTCCGCGGTCTGGGAAGGGGAGGGGGGCGCTCCCGCTGGGAGGGGGGCCTGGGACTGGACACGGCTGGGCACGGCTGCAAGACCTCGGAGGCGGCTGAGCCTCCTCTTCCGCTTCCTCTTTCGCTTCCTCGGGGCACTCACCCTGGCGCACCAGGTCCCGCACGGTCTCCTGCGTTGCGTTGGTCTGCTGGCGCCACCAGCGCGAGAAGAAGGCCATCTCCACGTAGACGAAGCGCCGGGAGGGCTCGGCCGCCAGGGCGGAGAGCACCGAGTCCAGGATGTACTGCACGCCCGCGTGCTGCACGTCGTTCCGGACTGTGGACACAGCACCGTGGGGAAGAGCCCGAGGCCGGGCCCAGGGGGGAGAGCCGCCCGCCCTACTCACTGCCGTAGAAGTACTGGTCCACGGTCTTGAGCCAGCCCACGTCATCGTGCGTGTGGGCCAGGAGGTGGACGTTCAGCATGTCCGGCTTCACCGGGGGACACGTCTGCGGGGGACCCCGAACACACACGGGCCGTCAGGGGCCCGCCAGCACTGAGCCAGGCGAGGCGACAGGCAAAGGCCCGAGCTCCAGCACGACGGGCTCGGAGCCGGCGAGGCCCCGAGAGGCGGCCGGCCCTCCCGGCGGCCCTCCCGGCGGCTCCCGTCCACGCCCGGGGCCACGGCCGCAGCCGGCCCTGCGCGAGGATGTAACGTGGGGTTCGATGTGTTCCATGCTGGTCCTAGGGCTTGAACCTGGGGCCTTGCGCGCTCGCTCGCCTTTTCTACTCAAGGCTGGTGCTCTGCCACTTGGGCCACGGCTCCACTTCCGGCTTTTTGCTGGTTCATGGAAACCAAGGACTTTCGGGTCTAGACTGGCTCAGAACCACAATCCTCAGACCTCGGCCTCCCAAGTAGCCGGGATTGCCGGCCAGAGCCGCGGCCTGCTGATTCCGTTTTCTCACTAACGACCCTAAGGCTGATTCTTGGCCGAGATGCAGCGGACAGCGGAGGGCGGCGCCGCGGCCGCAGCAGGTGCAGGCGGGCGGTGGGGCGCGGCGGCCGGGCGCCTCCAATCCGGCCGAAAGGCGGGTGCGCAACAGGCGCCCCGGAGCGGCCCCGGGGCTGGGGCCTGGCGGGACACCGCGTTCCCCGCAGAGACTCCCACGGAAGGACCCGCGCGCGCGCCGGGCCCGGGCGACGGGAGCCCGGAGCCCCCCGCCGCACCGCCCTCGGCCCCGCCGCCCGCCCGGCACCGCGGGCCGCCCGCCCCGCCCCGCGACCCCACTCGGGCTCCGTCCCGGTCCTCCACTCGCCTGGTAGCCCGCGGCCCGAGCGCCGGGCGCCGCCAGCAACAACACGAAGAGGAAGCAGAGCGCCGGGCGCCGGGCGCGGAAGTCCGGCCAAGGCCCCGCCGCGCTCCGGCAGCCGCCAGCGGCCATCCTGAAAGCCGGGCCTGCGAGCCCACCGTTCCGCCGCCTCCGCCTCCGAGGGGCTCCCGGGCCCGGGTAAATCCGGGGGAACGCTCCACCCCGAGCCCGGCTCTGCCAATCAGCGGCGGGGGCGGGGCCACGGGTGGGCGTGGCGCGGCCGTCGCCCTGGCTACCGCCCGCCCCCTTAGCCAGTAGTTGAGGACAGCGCGGCTGGGGCGGAGCCGCCTTTGGTGTCTCGCTGGACCTGGGGCTATGGAGGACCTTGGTCGTTCCTACCGAGCAGCACACGGAGACCCTGGGCGTCCCTCCCGGCCAGCGTCAGGGATGGGTCCTGGAGCCGCCCAGCGTGGCTAGAAGCCGGGGCTGAGAAGTGTCCTGTTCCGTCTCCTGGGGACTGGGACGTTGGGTAACGGTCGCCCGAGGCCAGAGCCCTTCCTTGTTAGGAAGCACACCAGGATCTTATAGACAGGTGGGGGCCGGACTAGCCAGGTAAGATCCTGAGTTGCACAAGCCTTCCCTCCTCCTATCAATACCTGCAGTTAGTAGAGATTATTCTCCAACAAATGAACTGTAGGAATGGAGGTGAGATCTGTAGTAGAGCACCTGCATAACACGGAGTTGGAGGCACAAAAAACGTCCTAATTCCTTAGGTGGAAAGGCTATTAGCTGCCCTAAGGTAGAGTCACTGTCCTGTCCCTGGTGCCTGACTTCAGTTTCGTATCTTATGAAATAAAGAGGTGAACACCAGAAGGTTCAGCCTGGGACCACACACACACAGACACACACACACACACACACACACAGGCCTATGTGGAGGAACTGGAGTATCCGAAGGAAGAGAAGAGAGGCCACAACAGGACGGCCACAGTGAAAAACTTTATTTAATCAACACTTTCCACAGAAAACAAATACACTCTGAAATATGAAATGTCTCCCCCACAGCATGTCAGGGCAGGGAATGCAAAAATGGTAAGCCTAAGGCTTTTCCCTCTACAATGGAGCAGAAGTTGAACCCCAGGGGAAAAAAAATCAGGTTCTCTCCATCCAGCTGGGGGCCCTGAGCATACCTAGGGCAGCAGCTGAGGGCAAGAGGTGGAGACAGCCAAAGGCTATGCCAGGAAGGTGGATAAAGGGAGTCCACACTGTGACCCCTTGAGGATGACATCACCAGGGGGGCGTCATGGGCTGAGGGTTCTGTAGATAGGACATCACCACAGCAGAGATAGACAGCCTGGGACAGGAAAGAGGTGTCAGTCAGTCCTGGGTGACAGGCCTGGGTTCCTCCACCCTTTAATCAGGACCCCTTCCCTCTTTGGCCAACCCTTACATAAAGCTACTCATCATCTGCTTGGTGTCCTCCGAGCTCCGGGAATTGGCAAAGCTGATGAAGGAGCAGTAGACGGCAACCCAAGCGCACCACTTCAGCTAAGGAAAGATAGATGGACAGGCCCAGTAGGTTAGAGGCAGGCCACCAATCACATCCCCAGCAGCCACTTCCTGATCACTGATCCTTCTTTGTGTAGCTCAAACCTTGCTCCCCTTCACCCAAGAACTCCCTCAGGTCTCATCCCTTTTGGGGGAGTCCTCTGTGTGTATGGTTACCTGAGTGCACACATGCATGCGTGACAGTCCTAGGGCTTGAACTCAGGCCTGAGCACTGTCCCTGGGATTTTTTTGCTCAAGGCTGGCATGGCACTTTACCACTTGAGCCACAGCTCTACTTTTGGCTTTTTTTCTGTCTCTCTCCTGGTAGTTTACTAGAGGTAAGAGTCTCACAGACTTTCCTGTCTGGGGTGGCTTCGAACCACGATCCTCAGATCTCAGCCCTCTGAGTAGGATTACAGGCGTGAGCCTCAGGCGTCCGGCTCAAGTACAGGTTTCTGCCTGGTATGGCAGGCTTCCCAGAGGGGCTAACTGAAGGTGGAGACTTGCGGGATTCAGTTCCCAATTCCAGATATTTGGCACCACACGAGCAAACCTCAATCCGTGCACAATCTGTCACCAAGTACCCAGCTCAGCCTCAATTCCCACTTCTCCTAAAAGTGGGACTTTCCACGTCGGGTCCACACCAGCCCGGCCCCCAGCCAATCCCAGGCCCCACCACCTGGTCACCGGCTTCCTCCCGAGCCCGCCCCCACGCTCATTCTGGGGCGGAGCCACGCCCAGGAACGCTCAGGCGCCGCCCACCTTAAGCATGAGGCCGCACATGCTGAAGATCATGCCCAGCAGGTTCATGTAGTCCGGCGTCGGGTCGTCCAGGGCCGGGTTACTCTCGCTCGGCGGAGGCTTGTACCTGCGGCAGGTTCAAAGGTCACCAGTGGAAGAGCCCGGCCCCCTGGATGGACAAACGCTTCGCCCGGCCCTGACCCACACCCACGGCCGCGAACCCCGTCGCCATGACACTGGAGGCCTCACCTGAGCACTTTGTTGGGCCTCCGTGGGTCGGACATATTGTTGGTGGACATAGCCAGACTGCGACCTGGTCACGCCTCTTCCGCTGGGAGAGTGGCAGCTTCCGGCGCGCGGGAGGGGGGACAGCTTTTAAAGTAGCACCCGGAGCCCTCACGTTTTCGTTCCCGATGGCAAGTGCCAGGATGACGCCGTAGCCAGTGGACGAAAAATGGCAAGAGGCGTAGAATGATCCTGGAGGATAGAAAATGGGAGCCTGAAATCGGACTTGGGTATCCCCCGAGGTGTGACTGAGGTGGCGAGCCCGGATGTTGGAAACCGGAAGTGTCCTGGGGGAACGATGATAACGTTACACCGAGCGTGGAGGTGGGGCGGCGCCAGGCTGCCGCCTTCCTCGGTGCCGAGTGGTCCGTTTCCCCTTTGGCGAGGACGGAGCGGGCCTGGCGCTATGGCTTTCCCTCAGCCGAAGCCGCGGGCCCCGGAGCTGCCCCGGAAGCGGCTGAAGACGCTGGACTGCGGCCAAGGGGCCGTGCGAGCCGTGCGGTTTAATGGTGAGCGCCCCGAATTGCCCCCGGGCCCCCCACCCCCCTCCCCCGCCCCCGAGCGCCCCCCACCCCCCTCCCCGCCCCCGAGCGCCCCACACCCCCCTCCCCGCCCCCGAGCGCCCCCCGCCCCCCCTCCCCGCCCCCGAGCGCCCCCCCCCTCCCCGCCCCCGAGCGCCCCCCCCTCCCCCCTCCCCGCCCCCGAGCGCCCCCCCCTCCCCCCTCCCCGCCCCCGAGCGCCCCCCCCTCCCCCCCTCCCCGCCCCCGAGCGACCCCCCACCCCCCCTCCCCGCCCCCGAGCGCCCCCCCACCCCCCTCCCCGCCCCCGAGCGACCCCCACCCCCCTCCCCGCCCCCGAGCGCCCCTCACCCCCCCCTCCCCGCCCCCGAGCGCCCCCCACCCCCCTCCCCGCCCCCGAGCACCCCCCGCCCCCCTCCCCGCCCCCGAGCGCCCCCCCACCCCCCCTCCCCGCCCCCGAGCACCCCCCCCTCCCCGCCCCCGAGCGTCCCCCACCCCCCCTCCCCGCCCCCGAGCGCCCCCCACCCCCCTCCCCGCCCCCGAGGCGCCCCCCCTCCCCCGAGGCGCGGCCCGGTGATCCCCAGCCTGATGTCCCCCAGCGGATGGCCATTACTGCCTGACGTGCGGCAGCGACAAGACCCTCAAGCTGTGGAACCCACTGCGGGGGACGCTGCTGCGGGCGTACAGCGGTCACGGCTACGAAGTGCTGGACGCGGCCGGGTGAGCTGGGGGCGAGGCCCCGGGACGCGGGCGCCGAGGCTGCGAGCGATCGGAAGTCGGCGTTGACCCCCTTTCTTGGTCTCCAGCTCCTTTGACAACAGCCATCTCTGCTCCGGCGGCGGGGACAAGGCAGTGGTGCTGTGGGACGTGGCCTCTGGGCAGGTCGTGCGCAAATTCAGAGGCCACGCGGGGGTAAGCGCCAGCGGGAGACCTTTAGCGTGGGAGTGGCGGAGGGGTGGTGCCCAGGACATCCACTACAGCGGTCCCCAGATGTCCCTGTCCCCACGGCCAGTCACGGGGAACCTCTCACCTGCGACCCTCTCTACTCCTTGGACCCTGTGTTGTTTTATTGGTTTTTCTGCCGGCACTGGAGCTTGAACTCAGGGCCTGGACGCTGTCTCTCAGCTTTTTCACTCAAGGCTAGTGATCTGCCACTTGAGCCACAGCCCCACTTTCGGCATTTTGGTGGTTAATTGGAAATAAGAGTCTCGAGGACTTTCCTGCCAGCGCTGGTCTCCAACCCCGATCCTCAAGTCAGCCTCCTGAAGTAAATAGGATTACGATTACAGGCATGAGCCACCTGCGCCTCTGGGGACCCATATTTAGCCTTGTCTTCCAAGGCCTACTTCCTGTTGAGTAGCAATGTCTGTTTCTCAGAAGGTGAACACGGTGCAGTTTAATGAAGAGGCCACAGTCATCCTGTCCGGTAAGTCTGAGGCCTGGTAGGAAGAAGTAGGGGGCTGTCCAGCACCCCTAAACTGACCGCCTTCATGCTGGCCTCCCAGGCTCTATTGATTCCAGTATCCGCTGCTGGGATTGCCGGTCTAGGAGGCCCGAGCCCGTGCAGAAGCTGGACGAAGCCAGGGACGGCGTATCCAGTGTAAAGGTGTCAGACCATGAGGTCCTGGCAGGGTGAGTGGGTGCAGGACCTCTGTCCACCCCTGGCGACCACTGGAAACCAAATCGCTTCTCGGTGCTCAGACTCTCATTTGCTTTCTGGGTTACAGTTAATAAATTAGATAATGAGTACATTTTTTCGGGGGGAGATGGTCATGGGGGTCTTGAACTCTGGGCCTAGGTGCTGTCCCTGAGCTCTTCAGTTCAAGGCTAGCGCTCTACTGCTTTGAGCCACAGCACCACTTCCATTGTTTTTGTGGGTAATTGGAGATAAGAGTCTTTGGACTTTCCTCCCCAAGCTGGTTTGGACCCACAATCCTCAGATCTCAGCCTCATGAGTAGCTAGGAACACAGGTATGAGCCGCCAGTGCCTGGCATACATTTCTTTTTGGACAAAGTCTCACCCCTTCCCTTACTCTCTCCAAGTTTTTACTTCCAGTCACCATTCAGAGGTCGTGTAGTTCATTTTCCACAGTGTCTGTTAGTGCCACTGCTGCGTTTGTTCACCCATCGTCCCTTCATTTCTTGCTTCCCCCCATACCCTCCCAAAGACAGATAAACAAAGACAAAAAGAAAACAAAGGAAAAACCCTCATTTCTACTTCCTGGAGTTCATTTTGATAAATATTATTTTTTACATGATCAGATGCACATAGACATTGAGCCTTTGTGTTTCTCTCCTAAGAATATCCTCCTTTTGGGGGCTGGGAAGGTTGTTCAGTGGTAGAGTGCTTGCCTTGCATGCATGAGGCCCCAGGTTCAATTCCTCAGCACCATATAAGCAGAAAAAGCCAGAAGTGGTACTGTGGCTCAAGTGGTAAAGTACTAGCCTTGAGCTGAAGAGCTGGGGGACAGCGCCCAGACCCAGAGTTCAGGCCCCACAACCGACACAAAAAAAAAGAAAGAAAGAATATCCTCCTTTGGTTCATTTTGCTTTTTTGATCAAGGCTGGCACTCTACCACTTACTACAGGCATGAGCCACCAGTGCCTGTCCCGGAATTTTTATGTATGTTATTTTTTTTTTTAATAAATGAAAGGAAAGGAAGTAAGTGCTTACCATAACTACCTTTTTGTGTCAGAGTTAATGGAAAAAGGGAAATTCTCTACCAGACAGTTGAAACTGGCTTGCTGGCGGGGATTTGGCCATAGTTCCTCTCCTGGTTTTTCGGAAGTTCAGATAGCAGTTTCGGTTTGGTAATGTGTAACTTCAATGTGGCCAACTTCCTTCATGTGTATTCAGGTGCTGCGGCTAGGCATTGTGCCTTTGTGTTCCTCTTCTAAGAATATGCTCCTTGGATTCACTTTGCTTTTTTTGATCAAAGCTAGCACTTGCCACTTGAGCCACACCACACCTCCACTTCTAGCTTCTTGCTGGTTAATTGGAGATAAGACTCTGGAATTTGTCCACCCAGCCTGGCTTTGAACTTTGATTCTCAAATCACCAGCACCTTGCTTCATTTTGATTTTTTTTATAATTCTTTTTTATTGTGAAAATACTGTACAGAGGGATTACAATTACATGGGCAAGATAATGAGTACATTTCTTATCAAGCATTGTAGCCTCCTTTGTTTCCCCTTCCCATCCCATCCTCCCCGACCCCCGCACCCAACTCCCCCCACCACCACCAAAGTTGTATCATTTTGATTTTTTTTAGCCTAGGCTGTTGGGTCCAGTATAGCCAGCTAAATACAAAGCAATGGCCTCTTGTCAGAGTTACTTTACACCTTGCCCCTTGGACTGCACATTTGTCTGCTTTCAGCCTTCAAACCCCAGTGAGAATGTTGCACACTTGAGGAGGCCTTTATAGATCTCCTAGTGGAAGAAGCTGCTTCTGGCTCTCCAGGAGCTACACCCCAGGCCTGTAACCCCAGAAGGGGGTACAGTTAGCACAGGAGAGTCAGTCCCAAATCATAGGCCACCCCGGTTACATAGTGACAGCTTGTCACAACCAAAAAGAAAGAAAGAAAGAAATACAGCCGATAAGCTGGGCGCCAGAAGCTCACACTGTCATCCTAGCTACTCAGGAGGCTGAGATCGAGGATCACAGGTCAAAACCAGCCCAGGCAGAAAAATCCATGAGATTCTTACCTCCAATGAGCCACCAAAAAGTCAAAACTGGGACTCAAGTGGTAGAGTGCTAGTCTTGAGCAAAAAAAAACTTAGGGACAGCACCCAGTAGCTGTACACACGCGAGTTGACCACACTGAAATTCCACATCACCTAACTGAAACTAAGTAGTTATCGAAACTTCCTCAGAAGCGACTCCCCCAGCAGGCCAGTTTCAGTGGGCATGAGAGGGAAGTTCCTTCTAACGCAATTGAAGCAGTGATGATAAGAACCAAGGGAACTGGAGAAGGCACGAGAGAAGCTCTCTTGCGGCACTTGATTTTATTTTTTTTTTGGTCGGTTGTGGGGCTTGAACTCTGGGCCTGGGCGCTGTCCCTCAGCTCTTCAGCTCAAGGCGAGCGCTCTACCACTTGAGCTACAGCGCCACTTCCAGTTTTCTGGTGGTTTATTGGAGATAGGAGTCTCACAGTCTCGCCTGCCTGGGCTGGCTTTGAACCACGATCCTCAGATCTCAGCCTCCTGAGTAGCTAGGATTACAGGCGTGAGCCACCAGCGCCCGGCTCTTGCGGCACTTTAGATAGTTGTAGTAGGGTTGGTGGGGTGAGCCCAAGCCCTGTGATGTTGGGAGACTCAAAGCTTGGGGAGGGTGCCACCTAGTGTAAAACTGAGGGAAGAGCAAGCACTCGAGATCAAGAAATGCGTTCAGCAGGGGGGAACGGGGCAATTCTCATTAGCAACAAAGAAAACATCTACACACCTGGTACAGATGCAGTGTTTTGTTTCATTTGTTTTTTGGGGGAAGCACTAGGGGTGGATCATGAGGCTTCATTAACACCAAGCAAGCTACACCCCACCCAGCTCTGCTTTTTTTTTGCCAGTCCTGGGAAAGGCCCTGAACTCAGGGCCTGGGCGTTGTCCCAATCTAGCTCTCTACCACTGAGCCACAGCACCACTTCCAGCTTTTTCTGTGTCTGTGGTACTGAGGAATCGAACCCAGGGCTTCATGAATGCTAGGCAAGCACTCTACCACTGAGCCACCTTCCCAGCCCTGGATCAGCCATCTTTGATCTGCAGGTAGATTCACAGGGTGGACTTTTGTGGCAGTTGATCTGTAGAAGGGGGATCGAGGAGGGCCCTAGGGGCTTGGAAGGGGGTCTGTAGATCCTCGGAGACAGGTAATGATGGGCCTGAGTCTCGCACCAGAACCTCCAAATCCCAGTCCTACACGGGAAGAGCAGGGCCGGCCCTGCTCACAGGATGCTGGGCTAGAAGAGGAGCACCCCAGTTGCCTGAGCTAACCCTGGCCTTCTGGCCCACCCTCTGCTGCAGCTCCGTGGACGGCCGCGTGAGGCGCTATGACCTGAGGATGGGGCAGCTCTTCTCAGACTATGTGGGCAGTGAGTGTGGCCCAGGCTTGGGGAACAGACAGGGGAGGTGCAGTGGCCAGGGGCACCCCAGCCTCACCCCCTCTATCCTGTCCTCCCTCCAGGCCCCCTCACCTGCACCTGCTTCAGCCGGGATGGGCAGTGCATCCTGCTGTCCAGCCTGGATTCCACCTTGCGGCTTCTGGACAAAGACACCGGGGAGCTGTTGGGCGAGTGAGTCTGCACAGTGCTGGGGTCCTTCCCCTCCCTCAGCCCAGGGTCCTCACCGAGACCTCATCCCGCCCACCCCAGGTACACGGGGCACAAGAACCAAGAGTACAAGCTGGACTGCTGCCTGAGTGAGCGGGACACACACGTGGTCAGCTGCTCTGAGGATGGGAAGGTGTACTTCTGGGACCTGGTGGAGGTGAGCCTTAACTCTCCCCCCCCAGCCCCTCTGCCAGCCCTGCCAGCCCTGGGTCTGAGGAGAGTGAATAATAGGGTCCAAAAGGAATGACAGAGCTGGAAGGGCGTTCCAGGCAAAGGGAATAGCATATGCAGAGACACAGAGGCAAGGCACATACACCAGTCATGAGGCTTTAGAGCCCAGTGCTGTGGCTCACACCTGTAATCCTAGCTGGTCAGGAGGATGAGACCTGGCAGGATCAGGGTTCAAAGCCTGCCTGGGTAAAAAGGTCCCGAGGCTCTTATCTTCCATTAGTCAACAGAAAGGGCTGCGGGTGTGGTTGGAGCAGTAGAGGGCCAACTAAGCAAGCAAGCTGAGCAAGCAAAGCCCTGAGGTAAAGCCCTGGTACCGAACAGGGCTTTGCGAAAGTGGCAGCAGCCGGATGAAGGTCAGATAGGACCACGAAACCAGGCTGAGCCACAAGAAAGAACAGACCCTGGGCCAGGGCAGCAGATGGCGGAGGTCAGCACACTTGATTGCTCTCCCAGTGTCCTCAGCTGTGGCTGCCAGCCCGGCCTGTGCTTGGGCTGGGGACGGCCATCTCCGCTTAGGTTAGTCACATGGAGATGGGGGGATTGGAGGCCAGTGACCGTGTTCTGCCTCTTTTTTCTTTGTTTTTGAATTCGCTGTGGGGCTTGACTCAGGGCTGTCCTTCACGTCTCTGTGCTCAAGGCTGGTGCTCTGCCACTTGAGCCACTGCACCACTCCCAGTTTTTGAGTGGTTCATGGGAGATAAGAGTCTCACAGGTACTTTCCTGCGGGAGCTGGCTTTAAATCACAATCCTCCTATCTCAGCCTCCTAAGTAGCTAAGATTACACGCATGAACCACCATCACCCATCTTTTTCTTTTTCTTTTTTTTTTTTTTGCCAGTTCTGGGGCTTGAACTCAGGGCCTGGGCACTGCCCTTAGGCTAGCACTCTACCACTTAAGCCACAGCACCACTTCCAGCTTTTTCTGTGTGTGTATGTATATGTGGTACTGAGGAATGGAACCTAGGACTTCATGCATGCTAGGCCAGCACTCTACCACTAAGCCACCTTCCCGACCCACACCCATCTTTTTCTTTCTTTTTAATATTGGTTGTGGGCTTCAACTCAGGGCCTGGGTGCTGTCCCTGAGCGTTTTTCCCTCAAGGTTAGTGCCCTACCACTTTGAGCCACAGCACCACTTGGTTTTTCTGGTCGTCAATTAAGAGTCACAGACTCTCTTGCCCAGGCTGGCTTTGAGCCCCCACCCTCAGATCTCAGCCTCCTGAGTAGGAGGATTAAAGGCGTGAGCCACCAGCGCCAGCCTGGTAATTTGCCTCAGAGGGAGGACACAGTGGGACACGGCTGTGCGAGGGTGACGAGGAAGTAGTGTTCAGAGCGTGTCTGCGAGGCTGTCCCGGGGGTGTGGCTCAGCGGCAGAGCACCTGGCTAGTAAAGCACCGCCCTGGGTCCCATCACCAACCCTGCAAATAAGAAGAAAAGAGGCCGAGTGCCAGTGGCTCACACCTGTCATCCTAGCTACTCAGGAGGCTGAGATCTGAGGATCTCGGTTCAAAGCCAGGCCAGGCAGGAAAGTCCGTGACACTCTCGTCTCCAGTGGGCCACCAGAAAACCAGAAGTGGCGCTGTGGCTCAAGTGGTAGAGCATTCACCTTGAGCTGAAGAGCTGAGATAGCACTCAAGCCCAGAGTTCAAGACCCACGACCAACTGGGGGGGGGGGGGGCGGAGAAAAGGGGGCCCAGGGGCCTTAAATCTCTAGTTTAAGGATGTTTTCTTTTAAATGAGTAGTGTATAGGAAAGGAGCCCCATTTATTTAACAAGGCTTCTTGTCCTTTATTATCATAAAATGTAAATATCACGAGGTGGTTGGTTCTCTAGAATGCCTACAGAATGCCTTAGAGTCCATCTATAAGATAGTTTTGCTTGTTTGCTTTTTTGTCAGTTGTGGGGCTTGAACTCGGTCTGGGCGCTGTCCCTCAGCTCTTCAGCTCAAGGCGAGCACTCTACCACTTGAGCCACAGAGCCACTTCCAGCTTTTTCTGCTTATGTGGTGCTGAGGAATCAAACCCAGGGCCTCATGCATGCAAGGGGGAAGCACTGTACTGCTGAGCCACCTTCCCAGCCCAAAATAGAAATATTTATATGCTCCAAACTTTGCAAGTTGCAGTCCATAGTCATTCGGCCTGTTGCTTCTGTGTCTGTGATATCTATTGTGCTACATTAAATGTATGCACTGCTGACAGGTGCTGGTGGCTCAGGCTTGTAATCCCAGCTAGTCAGGAAGCTGAGATCTGAGGATCAAGGCTTGAAGCCAGCTGGGGCAGAAAAGCCCCTGTGAGAATCTCATCTCCAACTAACCCCAGAAGTAGCTTTTTTATGGCTCCAGTGTTAGAATGCAAGCCTTGTGCAAATAGAGTGGTAAGGACAGTGCCCAGGCCCAGAGGTGGGGGGGGGGGGGGGGGGGGTCCTGGTCTGGTCCATGTTTGAAGGTTGAGAGCTTTGGGGTGGGGATAGCTGGCCACTGCTAACCACTCCTTGATTCCCAGGGTGCCCTGGCGCTGGCCCTGCCTGTGGGTCCCGGTGTGGTACAGTCGCTGGCATACCATCCCACAGAGCCCTGTCTGCTAACAGCGATGGGGGGCAGCATCCAGTGCTGGCGGGAAGAGGCCTTTGAGGTGGAGGATGGGGCGGGCTGAGCCCAAGGACCAAGACGGAAGCACCAACAGAGACCATTTATTCCAGAGACAGTGTGGGCCATGGAGTTGGGAGGAGCTTGTGTACAAACTAATAAATAAGGGGGCGTGGCCTTCCTGGCTCCTTCCGGTTCTTCTCAGTCCTCCTTCTCAGGGGCAAAGGCATCTGCTTTCTGGGCGAAAGTCTCAGCCACGAGCAGGGGGAAGACCAGAGAGGCATCAGCATAGACCTGCAGAGAGACAGGGTGAGCGGGGAAACCAGGGGACCCGGGAAACCCAGGGCCCAGACAGCCAGCTTCTACCTTGACCGGCTGTGCATCCATCCGGATCTTGCCCCAGGACACAGCCTCATCAGGCCGGGCACCCGAATCAGAGCCATCAAACTCCTGGGCCGTGTTGATGTATACTGCGTAGTCAGCCCCGTTCCTCTGGAGGGAGAGAATGGGAGGGGTAGGGCAGGGCAGGCCTGGTCAACCAGCACGTCGGCCGAGGGGCAAATCCCTCATCAGGAAAGATCTGACCAAGCCTGGAGTCAGGGCCGGCTAGAGGAATAAGAGCCCTCCCTGGTCGTTCCCAGAATCCAAAACACTTCAGACCCAAGATATTGCCAAGATTCCATGGTGGAAAATTCCACAGTGGATCTGTGACCAGTCACAAACCACAAACAAGCTAGAAACTGCACGAGATCACCTGCAGCCTGTGTGCAGGTGCTCACAGGCTTGCATCTTTTTTTAGGGGGGAGGGAGGGAGTCAGTCATGGGGCTTGAACTCTGGGCCTGGGCGCTGTCCCTCAGCTCTTCAGCTCAAGGCTAGCACTCTACTGCTTGAGCCACAGCGCCACTTCCAGTTTTCTGGTGGTTTTATGGAGATAAGAGTCTCATGGACTTTCCTGCCCGGGCTGGCTTTGAACCATGATTCTCAGATCTCAGCCTCCTGAGCAGGAATCCAGGCATGAGCCACCAGCGCCCAGCAGTCTGAGATTCTTATCTCCAGTTAACCACCAAAAAGGCACAAGTGGAGCTGTGGCTCAAGTGATAGAGACCCAGTCTTAAGCACACATCAAACCCTAAAGGACACTGAACCTCTGTGAACAACCCTCTGCTCTACCTACCTCAGAAGACCTTTGGTCCTGCCACCTTTGGTCCTGGTTCATTCATCCCATCACCATCTCTGTTCCTTTCATGGCCATCAGAGGGCGCTGGAGGCCCCTTTTACCTCAGCAAGTTTCAAAGTGCTTCACCCCAGAGAAGCCCTGTAGCAACGCCAAGGCGCTGGCCAGGCCCCTGCAGCCGCTTAGCTGCTCACTGCCAGCTTCAGTCACTCAGGGCCTTAGCCAGAGCTCTTCCTAGAGGTAACCACACACCTTCCCAAAGCCTCTGCTCACATCAGTTTCTTGAAAGCCTATTTCTGCCCCTTACTCATCTGGCTTTTTTTTATTTTGGCCGGGGGAGGGAGAGAAGGGGGAATTGAACTCAGGTCCTGGGCCCTGTCCCTAAACTTGAGCTCAAGGCTCTTGCTGTACCACTTGAGCCACATCTCCACTTCCGGCTTTCTGGCTGTTAAATGAAGATAAGAGTCTCAAAGGCTTTCTTTCTGCCCAGACTGGTTGCAAACTTCTATCCCCAGATCTCAGCTAGTAAGTGGCTAGCATTATAGGCGTGAGCCACCAGTGCCTGGCTCATCCAACCCACACTACACTCAGGGTCTGTGTTGCCCAGGCTGGCATCAAACTCCTGGGCCCAAGCAATCCTCCTGCCTCGGCCTCCTCAGCTGAGACTACAGGTATGTGTCACAGCTGTGGCCTATGCCTTGGACCCCATGTCTACACAATGGGCATAAGATGGGCAGGGACCACTCCACTCACCATGAGGTTGGCGTTGGCAATATGGTGCTTGACCACACCTCCACCCAGGATGATCATCCCAGTGCGCTTGGCAAAGATGGCCTGTGTGTTGATGAGCCGCAGGTCTGTGGAGAGAAGGCTGAGCTTGGGCATTGGTCTCAGTGGGTCCTTTCCCCACTCCCCTGGGGCTGTAGCACCTCACCCTCCACGATGTCCAGTACCAGGCCTGGGTTCTTGTAGGAGTGGAAGAAGATCATGTCTCCTATTGAGCCATCAGTGAGCGCTGGGCTCAGCACGGGGATGTGGTTCTGAGGGAGGACAGGGCGGGCAGCGACTGCAGCTCCAAGCCTGCAGGGGGCGCCCTGGCTCCCACCCCAGTGGCATCTCTAGGGTTTCACTAGCTGTGGAACTAGGGTGACAACACTTCCTGACTCAAGAGGAGGAAGATGTGAGCAAACGCATACGGAATGCCTAGCAAAAGCAAAGGCTTTTGTTACTTTTCAGATTCTGGGGTTCACTCTGCCCTTGCCCAGCCCTCACCTTCTGGGCCCAATAATACACTGACTCCGGGTTGTTGATTTCCTTGCCTAGACGGGCAATCATCTTCGAAGGCGTCCACTTCACACCCTAAAAAGGGGGGGGGGGGGGAGACAGTTTTAGTCCACACCTGCCCTGACTCCACTATTCTGGCGCCACTCCCATACACATACAACACGCCAGCGCCACCTCCGTGTTCTGCTCCAGAACCATCTGGTCCAGGATGGGCATCAGCCAGTCTTCAAACTTGCAGTAATTGTCATTGGGCACCAACAAGTTCCCAATCCTGGGGGCAGGAGACATGGGAGTCAGTCTGCGGGACCTCCTCAGCCCAGTTCTGCCCAATACCTTTTGTGGCTCTCACCGATTGATCCCATTCTCCCGGAGTTCCTTTCCCCTGAGGCTGAACTCGCCCAAGTAGGTGGGGGCCAGGCACTTGATGAAATCCTCCTCCACACCCCCGGCCGTGGTCACCAACACATCCACCTGCAGACACAGAGCAGTGAGGTTGGCCTTCATTGTTGGCAGGACTCCAATCAGCCTTCACCTATGACCCTCCGTGGGGAGCCTGCTACAAAGCCAAGCTCAGCTGTGACCCCAGGGGCAGAGCACCAAGCTTGAGGGAAAAAGTCAAGGGACACAATGCCCAGGTCTTGGATTCACGTTCTAGGTCCAGCAAAAAAGAAAAAAAAGCCCTATCTCCCATGTTATGGAGATGACCGATGAGTTTCACTGCTCAGTAATTGAGGGACCAAAGCCACCATGCGATCCTTACCATACTGTGCTGCACCAGGTAACGAATGGTCTCCCGGAGGCCTGAACTGATGAGGTTGGAGGTATAGCCCAAGAAAATGGTGCAGCCGGTGAGCGGGCGGCGGCTCTGGGTCAGGTCTGCGTGCTCATCTTCCTGCTGCGCCAGTGGCTCCAGCTTCTTCTCGATCTGAGTAGAAAGGCCAAATTTGGGCACTGGCCCCAGACCCCATCCCCAGAACCCCAGGTGGGACCCCGAAGTCAGATTCTACCTCTTGGTCCTAGCCACTCAAGGACACAGAGACCGAGGCCTGCCCCCGCTGCGGCCCTACCCCTTTGCAGTGGCGACCTCAGTGGGAATCAGAGAGGATCAGTCCTCTTCCCCGTTGGAAGTCCACTGAAAGAGACTGAGCTCCTGACTGAGGCGCCTCCGGCTCCCTCCCGGGCTTCGTCCACTTCCCCGCGCTTGCCCGGGCTGAGAAGCGGCCGCCCGCTTAGACCCCATTCGCCCCCAGCACGGCGCTCCCGCCACAGAGCCGGCCCCGCCTCCCCGCCACCTTATTGGGCCTCTCGCGGAGGGCACGCCCCCCCGCGCAGGAAGTCCCGCCCCCGGGCCGCACCATGGCGTTGACTTGCTGCACGGCGCGCCCGAAGTTGGTCGCCTGGAAGCCGGTGGTGCCGAAAGCCTGCAGAAGCGCGCGGTAGTCCACGCCGCGGCTGAAGTCGTAGCCCCGGACCTGGGCGCTCTCGGGCGGCAAGGCCGAGCTGTGCTTCAGCACGGCGGCCAGCGCCGCGGCGGGCGCCTTCGCTTCCGGGGACCCCTCCATCGGCCTCCCGCCCCCGGCCGCCCCGCGCGCCTCGGCCAGCACCGGAAGAGCTCCCTCCAGAGCCCGCGACGGGCCGGAAGCCCCGGTCACGTGACCGGCGCCAGCGCCCGAGGGCGCGGCCATGTTGGCGCGTCTGTTCCGTACCACGGGAGCCTGGAGCAGCCAATCTTCTCCGACTTCGCCTTTGCGCAGGATTGAGGGCGCCGCTCTGCAGGGTCGTGATTCCTCTTGGTGCCCCGCAACCCCCACACAGGACACGGCCCCTTCCTTAGCTACCATGTCCTGAGAGGCCTGCCGCCGGGTCTGGGATCCAGGGCTGACATCGCCCCCCCCCCCCGTGGTCTCCCCCACTTCCGAAAGACTCTTGGAGAACATGAAGTCTGTCCTACACTCGGACTGGGCTAGGTCCGGAGATTTAGTGGGAAGAATGGGGACCCTGCCATCCGGGAGCGTATCTGATGGAAAGAATAGAACATTCCCAACAAAAGGGGCTGGGAAGGTGGCTCAGTGGTAGAGCGCTTGCCTTGCATGCCTGAGGCCCTGAGTTCCATTCCTCAGCACCACATAAGCAGAAAATGCAGAAAAAGCTGGAAGTGTGGCTCAAGTGGTAGAGCACTAACTAGCCTTGAGCTGAAGAGCTGAGGGTCAGCGCCCAGGCCCAGAGTTCAGGCCCCACGACTGACAAAAGTAAAAAAAATTACCAACAAAGTCAAGTGTCCTTGAGGATCTCATCAGGATTATCAGTGACAAGAATGGGAATGGGTGGAGGGATTGGTGCATTGGAGGGACAGGTGACTGGAAAGTTTCCAAGGAAGGGACATTTGAACCAAGGCAGATGATTGAGAAAGACTCTATACAAAGATCTAGGAAGAGGAGCTGGGAATGTGGCTTAATGGTAGAATGGATGCCTAGCATGAATGACACCCTGGGTTTGATTCCTCAGTACCACATACACAGAAAAAGCTAGAAGCAGAGCTGTGGCTTAAGTGGTAGAGTGCCAGCCTTGAGCAAAAGAAGCTCAGGGACAGTGACCAGGCTCTGAGTTCAAGCCCCAGGACTGGCAGAAGAAGAAAAAAAGATCTACAAAGACATCAATTTCCCCCACAGGAGACAGAACCACCCGTGCAAAGGCCCCAAGGTGGATACCTACCTCCTTTATTGGGAATCAGAACCTCTTGACATCCTCACCTAGATCTGAGTTGCCTGGTATGGACTGAGGTGCTTCAAGTGGTAGAGCACCTGCCTTAGCAAACATGAGGCACTGAGCCCAAACCCCAGTACTGAACCTCCAGCTAACCCTGCCCCTTCCAGTACCGTCCCTCCAGCTAACCCTGCCCCTTCCAGTACCGTCCCTCCAGCTAACCCTGCCCCTTCCAGTACCGTCCCTCCAGCTAACCCTGCCCCTTCCAGTACCGAACCTCCAGCTAACCCTGCCCCTTCCAGTACCGTCCCTCCAGCTAACCCTGCCCCTTCCAGTACCGAACCTCCAGCTAACCCTGCCCCTTCCAGTACCGAACCTCCAGCTAACCCTGCCCCTTCCAGTACCGTCCCTCCAGCTAACCCTGCCCCTTCCAGTACCGAACCTCCAGCTAACCCTGCCCCTTCCAGTACCGTCCCTCCAGCTAACCCTGCCCCTTCCAGTACCGAACCTCCAGCTAACCCTGCCCCTTCCAGTACCGAACCTCCAGCTAACCCTGCCCCTTCCAGTACCGAACCTCCAGCTAACCCTGCCCCTTCCAGTACCGAACCTCCAGCTAACCCTGCCCCTTCCAGTACCGAACCTCCAGCTAACCCTGCCCCTTCCAGTACCGAACCTCCAGCTAACCCTGCCCCTTCTGCCTTCCAGGAAATGGCTCCATCCTCAGCTAAAAATCTGTAGTAGTTGACTCCATGCTAGTGAGGCTCAGGATTAATCTCCAGCACTGTGTGTGTGTGTGTGTGTTTGTGAGAGAGAGAGAGAGAGAAAGGGACAGGTTCATCATGGGGCTTGCTATCCTTGAATGTTTTCGCTTAAGGCTAGCTCTCTACCACTTGAGCCACAGCACCACTTCCAGTTTTCTGAGTGGTTCATTGGAGGGAGATAAGAATCTCACAGACCCCCCCCCCCCCACACCTTTGAACTGAAATCATCAGATCTCAGCCTCCTGAGTAGTTAGGATGACAGGTGTGAGCCATTGGCGCCCAGTTAGTGGACAGGTTTTGCTGGGGGCTTTTGTTTTGTTTAATCCCAGTACTGGGACTTGAACTCATGACCTCATACTCTTGCTTAGCCTTTTCTGATCAAAGCTAGTATTCTACCATTTGAGCATAGTTCTGAGCCCCAGTTCCACTCACTTCTGGCTTTGTGGTAGTTACTTGAAAATGAGAGTTTCATGGACTTTTCTACCCGAGCTAGTGTTGAGCTGTGATCCTCACATCTCACTTCCTGAGTTGCTAGGACAGGTGTGAGCCACAGGTGCCTGGCTCGGCGTGTTTCTTTTTCCTTTTGCTGGTCTGGGGATGGAACCCAGGACCTTACCCAAAGACCCCAGCCCCAGGAAGATAGATTTTATTCAAGGACTTAAAAGCAGAATCTAGTCTCCTGGCGTGTGAGAGAGTATGTACTGCCACAGGGAGAGGAGAGGCAGGCCAGGTCCCCGGCCCAGGCTGGGGGGCTGGAGAGGGGGCCAGCAGCAGCGTGTGCACGGTCAACAGGGGACCCAGCAGGTTAATGCGAGGCCTGGGTGTTCTTGCTTCTTCAGCCAAGTTGTTCAACCCCCAGGGGACCCAGGGGACACGTGACACCAGGGCAGCCGCTGGGCCTCCTAGGGCAGGGACCCCCTCTGCTGCGGCAGCTGGTGACATTTCACTGGGCTCTGGCTTCAAAGTCTCCGTGGGGGTTGGAGAGGCCAGGCTGTGGGGGAGGGGCCGGAGCGAGCGGGGTGGCCGTGGCCCGGGAGGAGCGGGCAGCCAGGCGTCTTCAGGAGTCCTCGGCAGAGGGAGGTTCGAGGTGAGCCTGGCTGGTCATCCTGGGCCCCCACAGGAGGCAGGGCCGCGGCTCTGGCTTGCTCACAGCCCCCTCCCCCCCCACCCCCCCAGATGTCCAGCAAGGTGGCAATCGGCAGTGACATTGGACAGGCCCGCCGGGCGGTGGAGCAGCTGCGGATGGAGGCGGGCATCGACCGCGTGAAGGTGAGGGCAGGGTGGGGGGAGGGGAGGAGGGAGAGGGGCACAGCTTGGGGATGGGGGGGCGGCCTGGCTGACCAGACACATGGGTCTGCAGGTGTCCAAAGCAGCTCGCGACCTGCTGCAGTTCTGCACGGAGCAGGCCAAAAGTGACCCTTTCCTGGTGGGCATCCCGGCTGCCACCAACCCCTTCAAGGAGAAGAAGCCCTGTGCCATTCTCTGAGCCCCACTCCATGGCAACGGGGACCCTCCAATAAACATCACGTGATCGCTCCTTGCGGCTCACCTGCCCTGAGCGGGCAGAGGGGGGTGGGGGCGGACAGGGCCACTGTGGGCACAAGGGATCTGACCCCCCACCCCCACCCCCTTCCCTCCCAACCCTGGCCAGTTCCCAGGCAGGGCAGCCGCACGCACGCACCCACGGGCCTCACCCCTCCCCTGCACCCTCTCCCTCCCCACACACACCTGGGGGTCACAGGGGCAGCAGCTGCTGCTCACTGTCCTTCTGCTGGGTTCCCCAGGGCACACCCAAGGGCCCCCCATCCCAGGTCGGGGCTGGGGGAGGAGGAAGCCACACGCCACCAGTCTGCACACTCCACAGGTTTATTCCTCCTCACTGTCACCAGAGAGGAGTTTCCAAACACTAACAGAACCAGGGCCCCGGCCGGGCACGGTAGCACCCACCTGGCATCCCAGCAGCCAGGAGCCACAAGCAGGAGGCAGCCTGGCTACACAGTGAGACCCTTTCCACAAAACGACATGCAAGGTGCAGGGGGAGCGGCAGGTCCCTGAGGGGCCAGGTGGGGGCCAGCACGGGACCCACCGAGCCAGGCCCAGGACTCCGTGCCCAGGCCTGTGGGGCAGGGCAGAGGCAGCACCAGTGGGGGAGGTCCCCAGGAAGAGGCCAGGCTTGCCTGGGTGGGCAGTGCACACCAACAGCCGCGGCGGCGTCCTGCTCAGGCCTGCAGCCTCCAGACCTCCAGCGAGGAGTCCTCCGAGGCGGCCACCACCAAGTTGCCCTCAGCACAAATCTGGATGGGGTGGGGGTGGGGACCCGGGAGTCAGGGGGGGCTGGGGGGAGGGTGCTGGAGGGGGGGCTGGGGGCGGGGCTTACCCCATTCAGGACTCTGTGGTGGCTGCGGGTGCAGATGGTCCAGGGCGGGTCCGTGGGCACGTGGACCTGGGAGGGGCAGAGGTCAGAGGTGAACAGGTGGGGGTCTCTGGGCGATGGGGTCGGGGTGGGGTGCTGTCCTCACCCGGATGGTCTTGTCGATGGACGTGGTGTACAAGGCTCCCAGAGAGTGTTTGATCCCTGTGATGTGCGACTTATGGCCCACGTTGAAGGACTGTGGGGGAGGGGGGGGGGTCAGTGGACAGGCAAGTCACTCCCAAGCCGCCCCGCCCCCCGGGAGGCACAGGCAAGGGCTGGGGTCCTGGCACACCCGGACAAGCTGGAAGCAGCCATGGCGGTTGGCGAAGACTTGCAGCTGGCCCAGGTTGTCGCCGGCCCAGAGCTGGGGCTGCTGGTAGGACATGCAGAGCAGGTAGGAGTCCATCTGTACACAGGATGCAGACACGGCTTGGAGCGGCCTGGCCTGCAGCCCGGGTCCCTCCAGGACCCCTGGAACGGGGCGGAGAGGAGGGAGGGGAAGTCCCACCTGCAGCCGCTGCTGAACACGGTTGGCCCGCCGGTCGACCACCACCAGCGTGCGGTCCTCGCTGCTGGAGATGATGTGCCTGTCGTCGGCCAGCAGCGCCAGGACGGCGCCCGAGTGCAGCCGCCAGTTCTGCAGCAGGGCTGGGCCAGCTGGGGGGGCAGGCGTGGAGGGCGCCATCAGAGGCCCCCATCCTACCCGGCCAGAACCTCCCAGCTGCTCAACCCTACCTCCTGTAGCTCTCCCCCCTTCCTCTCTCCCCTCTCCCCCTCCCCCAGCTAGATCCACAGTCCGGCTTCTTCCTGCCTTCTCTCACTACAGGGGTGCGCACCTCACCCACCCTGACCCCAGCTCCAGCTCCAGCGCGCCCTTTCTTTCTTGTTTTTATTTTTTATTTTTTTCTCTTTTTCCGGTACCAGGCTTTGAACTGGTGGCCTTGCACACATTAGGCAGGTACTCTGCCACTAGAGCCATGACTCAGCAGACGTTCAGTGGCAGAGAATAGGAATACATGGATAAACCACAGAAGGCAGGTGTGGTGGTTTGTGTGCCTGTAAACCCAGCTCCTGGGGAGGCAAGAGCTGGAGGATTTCTGTCAGAGGCTGGCCCGGGGAAATCCTGAGACCTTATCTGAAAAGTAACTAAGACGGAGGGGCTGGAGGTGTGACTGAAGTGGCAGAGGTCTCGAGTTCAAACCTCAGTGTCATCCAAAAGGGAAGGGAAGGGAAGGGAAGGGAAGGGAAGGGAAGGGAAGGGAAAAGGGAAGGGAAGGGGAGGGGAAGGGAAAGGGAAGGGGAAGGGGAAGGGGAAGGGGAAGGGAGGAAAGAAGGAAGGAAGGGAAGAGAAAGAGCGAGGGAGGGAGGGAAGGAGGGAGGGAAAGAAGGAAGGAAGGGAAGAGAAAGAGGGAGGGAGGGAGGGAAGGAAGGAGGGAGGGAAGGAAGGAAGGAAGGAAGGAGGGAAGGAAGGAAGGCAGGCAAGGAGGGAGGGAAGGCCAGGAGGGAGGCAGGCAGGGAGGGAAGGGAACGTGCAGGAGCTAGGGGGGAACCGGCGGTCTCCGGCACACTATGCCCACGTGCCCAGCCAGCCCATGACTAAGATTTTACAATAGGGATAACTGGGGCTCCAGGGTGCTTGGCATCATACGGCTGGCAAGTGGGGGTGAGGATCCCCCAGTGGGCCGAGTGGCCCTGCGCGCACATGGCACTGTGGAGGGTACAGCGCTGGCTGGGCGGCCAGTCAGGGGCCACGGTGTCCTGCACCCACCTCGGGGGTCGTAGAGGGCCACCTTCCGGTCATAGGTCCCGGCCACCAAGATGTCAGGGCGGTAGTCAAGGCACAGCACGGCTGCCTTGCCCCTGGGGACACACAGACCACACGCTGAGGCAGAGGCCACACAGGGCCCTCCACCCCACTCCCCTGCCCACGCCCCTCACACTTTATCTCTCCAAACTGCTGCCCTTCGGCCGCCATGTCCCACAGCTTCACCGTGCTGTCCCAGGAGCCAGAGCACACGTGGTGGTCCTGTGCCGCCAGCGACCACACCCAGCCCTGTGGGACAGGGCACGCGTCACGCCAGCCCCCCACGCCCACGGGGCGAGCAGGCAAGCTGAGGCTCAGAGAGGTAAACAGACTCACCCTAAACCACACAGCTTTTCTTCCCCAACACAAAAATCTGACAGGTGCCAGTGACCATCCCACCCCGCAGGAGACACAAACAATGGAGGGCCAAGTCTCTGTGACACGGGGTTCAGGCCTGCGGGTCTGTCTACCTCAGAACCAGTAACACTGGTTTTTAAGGGTGGGGCCTTGTGTAGTCATGGTAAGTGCCCTGCCCCTGATCACACCCAGAAGTCAAGGAAAAATATGATAGAATTCTCAGACGAGCCAGATGTTAGTGGCTCACATCTGTCATCCTAGCAATTCAGGAGGCAGAGATCTGAGGAGCCAGCCTGGGTAGGAACGTCCATGAGATTCTTACCTCCAGTGATCCATCAGAAAACCAGAAGCGGCACTATGGCTCAAAGTGGCTAGCCTTGAGCACAAAAGGTGATGGCCAGCATCCAGGCCCTGAGTTCAAGCTCCAAGGCAGACCAAAACAACAAAAAAATAAAGAATTTTCAGGCAATTCTTGATTTTAGTTTTGGCTTGATTTTTGGTGGTGTGTGTGTGTGTGTGTGTGTGTGTGTGTGTGTGTGTGTGTGTGTGTGTGTGTGTGTGTGTGTGTGTGTGTGTGCGCGTGCGCATGTGCTGGTCCTGGGGCTTGAACTCAGAGCCACAGCTGTTCCTGACCTTTGTGTTCAAGGCTGGAGCTTAACCACTTGAGACATAGCTCTACTTCCAACTGGTAACTGGAGATAAGAGCCTCACAGACTTCTTGCCTTGTCTGCCTTTGAACCTTGATCCTCGAATCTCAGCCTCCTGAGTAGCTAGGTATACAGGTATGAACTATTGATGCTGGAATCAGGAATCCTTAATAGCATGCAGTTGTAGATTGAAGTTAGCAGCGGCAGCAAGGAACCTGAAACCGCTTCTGTTTCATAAACTCTGCTGTCGCCTGCGCATTGCACATTTTTGCCTCTGTTCAATTCGGTCATGTGCACCAAGTGAGGGAAATCTTCCACACTGTAACAATTTCACTCTACCACATAGAAAAATCTCATTAATCTCAGTTACCAGGGAGGCCCAAGCAAAAAGATCATGAGACTAAGTAAGACCAGCCCAGACAAAGTGAGGGACACCCTATCTCAAAACAAAAGGGCTGCCGGGCGCTGGTGGCTCACACCTGAAATCCCAGCTACTCAGGAGGCTGAGATCTGAGGATTGCAGTTCAAAGCCAGCCCGGGCAGGAAACTCCATGAGACTCTTATCTCCAATAAACCACTAGAAAACCCAAAGTGGCGCTGTGGCTCAAGCAGTAGAGCGCTCACCTTGAGCTGAAGAGTGCATGGACAGTGCCCAAGCCCAGAGTTCAAGCCCCACGACTGACCAAACAAAACAAAAAAACAAAAAAAGGGGCTGGGCTGGGGGTATAGCTCAGGGGCAGGGCGTGTGCCTAGCATGCAGGAAGCCATGGGTTCCATCCCCAGAAAGGCCCCCTTCCCCTCCAAAAACAAGGGCCCTTGGGCTGGGAAGGTGGCTCAGTGGTAGAGTGGTAGACTGACTCATTTCTCCCCAAATCCTCCACGGAGGGTGCTGTAACAGAGAGCTCATTTCATAAATGATGAAACTGGGGCACAGAGAGGTTGAGTCACCCACCCACCCAAGGTTACACAACCAGGATGTAGCAGATTGGGATTTGGACCCCAAAAGCCAATGGCCCTGGACCATCTTAATGAGTGGTGGAGGCACTTCCTGGCAGACAGCTGTGAGCAATCTAGCCATTTAGTCCCCAAAGACAGCCTTGCAAGAGGGACTCTTTTTTCTTTTTTTGTTTTTTTGTGGTCAGGCATGGGGCTGAACTCAGGGCTTGGGCACTGTCCTTGAGCTTATTTGCTCAAGGCTAGCACTCTACCACTTTAGGTCTCACAGACTGTCCTGCTTTGACAAGCTTTGAACAGATCTGAGCCTCTTGAGTAGCCAGGGTTACAAGTGTGAGCCATCAGTGCCTAGCTTTTTTTCTTCTTTCTTTCCTTTTGCTGGTTTTTGGGACACAACCTGGCCATGTAATCCAGGATGGCCCGGAACTCCCAAACCAATGTCTCCACAAGTGCTAGGATTATGGGTGAGAATCACCATGCCTGGCCCCACTCAGCCTATTGACATGTACTTAACATCTACTGTGCCAAAGCCTGAAAGTTGAGTGTTCACATTAACGCACGACCCATCGCCATTCAGCCTCATCCTAACCAGGGCCCAGTGCAGTCACACAAAGTCCCACCAGCTACTGCTGAGCAGGATTGCAATCTGGCCAGCCTGGCACCTTCCCACCTCACATCTCTCCCCCTCCCCTCTCCCCCCCCCCCACACCTGGTGGGCACTTACCTTGTGTGTGCTGTTCTTCTCTGTGCCCAAGGACTTGACCAGGACCCGGCTAGGCTCCTCCCCTAGCCGCCGCAGGTCCCACAGGTTGACATTGCGATCTCGAGAGCCAGACAAACAGAGCGTCCCACCCTGGGAGGGGAGCAAAGAGACATGGAGCTGGAGCCACTCTGGCCCACCTCCGCCTGTCCTTCCCCACGAGCTCCCCTCACCTGGAGCAGCAGCACTGAGTCAATGGATGCAATGTGCCCATCAGCCAGGCAGAAGTACTCAGCCCGACGCCCATCCTCCGCCCAGCAGGCCAGGTGGTGCTCCAGTTCAATGCAGGCCGTTGGCCAGTCGAAGTCCTCCTCTGTAGGGCACCATCACAGGGTCCCCTTTGGGTACCAGCTGGCTGAGCCCACCCCTCGCTGCCAGACTTGGTGCAAGCACCACCTAGATTCTTCCAGGAAGACCCAGGTTCTGGCCTTTGAGCTAATCATTCACCCACCTCCTCGGCTGGTTGTGCTCACCTCCCAGCTGTTTCCAAACACTGGGTCTCAAGCCCACCTTTCCAGCCTTCATTCCCCCAACCCAAGCCAGGCAGATGGTAGTTTCAGGAAGCCAAGGAGGTTCAACCTCAGGTCTTCAATCATCAGGCTGGGGTCTCATGATTCAGCCTCCTAGTGGGGTACCGTGGCTCAGAACTATAATCCTAGCTACGCTGTATGTGTGGGGAGGGCACAGGAGTGTCCACACAGGTGTGTGTGTGTGTGTGTGTGATGTTTCTGGTGCTTGAACTCAGGACTTGAGCCCTGTCCCTGAGCTTTTTTTTTTTTTTTTTTTGCTCAAGGAACTCCACTTCTGGCTTTTTTGGTGGTTAGAGATAAGAAGCTCAAGGGCTGGGGGCTGGGAAGGTGGCTCAGTGGTAAGAGTGCTTGCCCTGCATGCATAAGGCCCTGGGTTCGATTCGCTCTGAGTTCAAGCCCCAGGACTGCCCCCCCCCAAAAAAAAAACCTTAATGACTTTGCTGACTGGGCTGGCTTTGAACTGCAATCCTCAGATCTCAGCTTCCTCAGTAGCTAGGATTATAGGCATGCGCTATTAGTGCCCAGCTTTCTACATACTTTAGAGGTAGAGACAGAAGGATCTTGAGTTACAGGCCTGACAGGACAGTTAGTGATACCCTGTCTCAAAACCGAAATAAAAAGCTAGGCAGCAGAACCTTATGCCTGTTAGCCTAACTACACAGGGGGCTGTCATTGGTTAACTGGAGGTAAGAGTCTCCTGGCCCTTCTTTCTGGGCTGCCTTTGAATCCTTATCCTTAGATCTCAACGTTCTGAGTAGCTGGGATTACAGGCATTAACCACCAGCACCTGGCTTATGTATCCAACTCATTAAAAGGAAGTCTGACCAAGTTGTCCATAGCTACATCTTCATACACCTTGACACAGGAGACCACCTCCCCACCCCCCTCCACCCCACCCCCACCCGCTTCAGATTAGAGGAATCCCCTCTGCCTCCATTAGGGGAATCAATAAGCCTATGTGTGCTCATGTTCCATCAAGGGCCTGGAGTACAAATAGCAGAATCAACATCTCCAAATCAACTGTATCAATCAAGGTCTCTCTCCTCCTTCCTAAGCCATCTTCCCCCACCCCTCTTGTGGACCAGTAAACTCAGAAGCAGAATAAGTAAGTGATCATCAGCCCTAAACCCTAAGCTAGGGGAAGGGATGCCACCCTCGGGCCCTTCTTGAGTCAATGCCTAACGAGGTAAAGGGTTTGGGTAGCTATACCCAAAGCCTGAGGATTCTTGAGCTTATTCTGAGCCCCATGAACAGCCCAAGACATCAAGTCTCAGTGTATTCCTGCAACAGGCATCAAGGCCTTGATATCAGCAGAGAATCCTGGTCAGGAACCCTAACAGGTGAGACCTCAAGATCCAAATGTCTGCTTCATGATTCACTAAGAAGTGAGCATCGGGCTGGGAAGGTGGCTCAGTGGTAGAGCGCTTGCCTTGCATGCATGAGGCCTGGGTTCGATTCCTCAGCACCACATACACAGAAAATGCCGGAAGTGGCGCTGTGGCTCAAGTGGTAGAGCACTAGCCTTGAGCTGAAGAGCTGAGGGACAGCGCCCAGGCCCAGAGTTCAGGCCATGACCGGACCCAAAAAAAAAAAAAAAGCGAGCATCACCCGAGCCTCCAAGCCTCAGCCTCCATGCCCCGGCTGCAAAAGCCACGAAGCCTGCTTTTCGTGGGTGCCTATGGCTCCCTAGGTACCTCTCCCCACCCTATCCTCCAAGCCTGACCCGGGCGGGCGTCCTCGGGCCCCCGGAGCGCGCACCTTCCACTACTGGGTAGGGCGCGCGCACGCGGCGCCGCGCGCGCAGCCTCCAGGTGACACGGTCACACACCAGGTCGCGCAGCGCGTGACACACGCGCGACAGGACGTGCAGCACGAGGCGCGCGTCCAGGTAGGCGCAGATCTCGAGTAACAGCTCCGGAGGGAGGCTCAGCAGGCCCGGCCTTCCCACCGGAGGGAAGCTGGCCGCGGCCCGGGGCTCCACGGCGCCCGCGGACGCGGCGGGCCTGGGCAGCAGCGAGGCGCGCGGGGGCGCGGCCCTGGGCTGCAGGGGGCTGAGCACGCGGGCCACGTACGCTTCGGCCTGCGCGTCCGGATCGGGCTCCGGGTCCGGCTCCGGGTCCGAGTCGTCGTCCCAGGCTCGAGGAAAATCGCCAGGCTCTGGGGAAAGTTCCATGGCGACCGGGCGGGCGCGGCCAGCCCGCCCTCCGAGCCGCCGGCCCCGCGTCCCGTCTCCTAGGCAGCGAGAGGTTACTTCCGGAGATGCCCTTCCGGCGCCACCTGATGACGTCGAAGCGGGCCGGAAACGAGCGCGACGCAGCGGGATGGGCGTCTGTGGCGGCGCCGGGCGGCGCCTCGGCAGGTGGAGCTGAGTCCCGCGTGGCGCCCGCATCTTCGTGGCCGGCATGGGGAGGCTGACGCCGATTTTCTTGCTGGCTTCCTTTCTTTGCCGGCCCTGGGGCTAGCGCTCTCCCAGCTGAGCCACAGCACCATGTCCAGAGGCCCGATTATAAAAGACACCGATAAGCTGTTTCCCTGGCTGGCCTCGAACTTACCGTCCTTCGGCCAGCGTCCGCAGCAGCTGGGATTAGAGGAACGCTCCACCGCACCCGATTTAACCAGCAGCTGCGCGCGCGTGCGTGAGTGCGTGCCGGGCCAGTGCTGTGCTAGGCTCGCTCCTCACAGCCTGTACTCGACCACCCTTCTGTTGGATCATTTGGAGTCTCAAGGTCTATTCTATCACGGCTGGCAATGACCCTCCATCACCGGATCGCTGGCTTCTCCGGCGAATTTTGGTGTCGGGACTGGATTTGAACTCAGGATCTTAACACATAAGGCTGGTACTTTAACACGTGAACCACAGCTCCGCTTTAGGGTCTTCAGGTGCTTGATTGGACATAAACCTTTTTTAAAATGTTCCAGGGGCTGGGAAGGTGGCTCAGTGGTAGAGTGCTCGCCTAGCATGCGTAAGCCCCTGGTTCGATTCTTCAGTACCACATACACAAAAAGCCGGGAGAGTGCTAGCCTTAATCAAAAAAGCTCAGGGACAGTGCCCAGGCCCTGAAAAGTCATGAAGATAGCCACAGGCTTCACAAGCTTCCAACTGAGCACAATCTCCCCCTCCACACTGGCTTTCTAGTTTTTACAAGCAAGAAAACAAACTTTAGGGGCTGTGTTGTGTGGCTCTATTGGAAGCCCTGGGTTTAATCCCCAGTACAGGAGGCTGGGAGGTAGAAAACACAGGATTGGGGTCTCAAAAACTAATACTTCCACCGGGCGCTGTTGGTTCACACCTGGAATCCTAGCTACTCAGGAAGCTTGAGCTCTGAGGATCGAGGTTCAAAGCCAGCTTGGGCAGGAAAGTCCATGAGAATCTTATCTCCAATAAAACCCACTCAGAAAACCAGAAATGGCGCAGTGGCTCAAGTGGTAGAGCGCTCACCTTGAGCTGAAGAGCTGGGACAAGACAACATTCAGGCCCAGAGTGCAAGCCCCATGACCGACAAAAAAAAAAAAAATTAAAAAAAAAAAAAAGAAAAGGGGCTGGGAAGGTGGCTCAGTGGTAGAGCACTTGCCTTGCATGCTCGAGGCCCTGGGTTTGATTCCTCAGCACCACATAAGAAAAAGGCCGGAAGTGGCGCTGTGGCTCAAGTGGTAGAGTGCTAGCCTTGAGCTGAAGAGCCGAGGGACAGTGCCCAGGCCCAGAAAAAAAAGAAAATAAGCATAATACTTCCTTAGCTCAATTTTATTTCCAGATCTGTGCATACTCACCCTACTTACTTTCATTTAGTGATATAGTTTTTCAACTCAGGGCCTGGGCAGTCCCTAAAATTATTTGCTCAGGGATAATACTCTACCACTGGAGCCACAACTCTACTTCTGGATTTTTGGAGAAGAGACTCACAGACTTTTACGCCTGGGCTGGCTACAAACGATGATCCTCAGATATCAACTTTCTGAGTCATTAGAATTTCAGGTATGAGCCACCCGCTCAGCTTTGTTTTATTTTTGAGACAGGATTCCCCCTCTAACTCAAGCTTGCCCTAAACTCACCATCCTCTTCCCTCATCCCCTCCAATGGTGGGATTCCAGGGATATACCACAGATCCCTCTGAGAGTCCCAGGCCCAATTCTACACCTCTCAACCAGCCAAGCAAAGAACACAGGAAACTGGAGACCAAAAGTGTCACAAGAAACTCATCTTTACTCAACAAAGTTCTACACAAGTGGAATCTCACGCCACCTTGGCGCCAATCTCCAGCACAGCACTGTAACAAATGGACTGACCTGGGAGCCCTCAGGGAAAAGAAGGGAAGAAGGGACTCGGGAAACAGGGAATGAAGGCAGACCAAGGCCAGTCTGTGTCCCCAGCCCTGGGCAGGAAAGGTTAAGAAGCTGAAACCTTGTGCAAAAACCAACCAAAAATAAATTAAAAAATTAAATAGTTTTCTTGAAAGAAAAAGGAAAACTAGAACAATCAGGCTCCCTATTCCTGAAGGTGGCGCTTGGCACCCCTCACCTTGGGAGGAAAGGGGATTATACCAATCCCATCAGCCAACCCACCTGCACACCCCAAAACCCAACAGAGGATGCTTCAAAGAACTAGCAGAAAGTTAAATGGTATTTTAAAAAACGTGTTTTTCTTTTCTTTTTTTACAAATGGCTTCCAGAGACCTGCTCGAGTTTTGGGAGAGAGGACAGGGACACCTAGCTGGGCTATGGAATGTGCTCTAAGTGCCCCCTCGGAATCGAGGCAGGGTCTGACTCTGCCTCACAGAAGACAAGAGCCAGGCTGGGATGGGGTGTAGGGCGTTGGAGGGGTGAGTGGAGCAGGCCCCGGGCTGAAAGACTCCAGTCAACCCCCCCCCAAATATAAGGGGTCCCCCTAAGAAGTGGAAAGCAGGGAAGAAAAACAAAAAGGGTAACAAATCTTAAAGGAGCTACAGGGCCCAATTCTCCTAGCAACCCAAATAACCAGGCCCACGTCCCTTGGGGTGGGGCGGATGACTCCCTTCCACCAAGACCTATGTCCTAGGACATCTGCCTCAGTGTTGGTGGCATCTCTAGGGGCTGTGATGAGCACGGAGTCTCAGAGGGGGCAAAGTGGAGATGGGGACATTCACCTTTTCCCTCCTGGAAGCCTGAGCTCAGCTTCTTTCTTGCCTTCAGCCCAGACCCTAGAGGTGGCCTCCCAGGAGCAGAGAGCAAGATGGCCCTTAAAGATGCTTCCCCAGAGCCTGGGGGGTGGGCGGCGGGGACAGAGTTGTCCCGAGCTCTCTTTTGGGGGGGGGGGGGGGGGGGAGGGAAAACTCCCAGCCCCGCACTGCCCAGGGTCAGTGAGCACAAGCCAGGGGGCCGGGGTGGTCTCGGGGGCCCCTGCCTGCGGCGAGGATGGTCCCTATGTGGCTGGCTGGAGAGGATAAAGATGGGGGCACATGATCTGAGTCTGCCCCAAGGCTGGCAGGAAGTATGCGGAGCAGGTCAAAGCGTGCACGTGCTGACGGGCGGCCGCAGGTAGCCGTCCTCCTCCCTCCCGCCCCGGGGTCTCGGCCGAGGCCCCCCCAACCCCCCCAAGCCCTCCCCAATCACCGGCGATCCCGGCCAAACAGCGAAAGCTTCTTATACTCTAGGTGCAGATTACACGGAAGGCCGAACGGCTTAACTCGGGTTCACTACGTCTACTGTCTCCATGCAGTCGGGGAAATGGGGCGGCGCGCCACCCGCGCGCGGCCGCACGTGGACGTGAGTGTGCGCGTCTCTACAAGGACACCCCCCTCCCCGCCTGCGCTCCCCGCGCCGCCTCCCGCGCGGGTTCCTCCCTCCCACGGGGCTGGCCCGGGTGGGCGGCCTGAGACGGCCCCCATGAGAGCCGGGGCCTCGCGCCGGCCGGACCTCCCACCCCCCTCCCTGTTTGCAGGACTAGCGCGTGGCGGCCCCACCCATCCGCCCGTGTGCCGGCCAGGCCGGCCCGTGGGACAGGTGGACGGACGCACGGACGCACGGGGAAGGCTTCTGGGTTTGGATCCCGCGCACGCCTCCCTACCCCCCCTCGACCAGGGCACCGCGACTTCCGGACACAGCGCGCTCCCAGCAATCCCTTCGACGATGACGCAGACAGGAACCTGGGGGGCGGGAGGGGTGTCAGGCCCGCGCCCTTCACGCCGGCCCCCCGGCCTCCCCTGCCCTGCCCGCACCTGGCGGCCTCCCCTGCCCTGCCCGCACCTGGCAGTCTCCACGCTCGCCTAGACCCCGTAGAAGGCCGCCAGCCTCTCCTTGAGCAGCGGCGGGAACTGCTCCGAAAACTGCTGCCAGTTCTCCTCCCCGACCTGGTCTTTGAAGCCGTGGAGGATCTGCGGGGGGGGGGGGGGGGGGGGGTGACCTCTGACCCCGCGGCCGCAGGGGCGCCGCCTCGCCCCCCCCCCCCGCCCCCCGAGCCTCACCTTATAAAACATGTCCCGAAGATCATCCTTCGGGCTCACCCAAGAGGCTACAGCGTCGCAGAAGAAAATAAAGTCCTGAAACGTGACGCATGGCGGGTGAGGGGGCGCCGCGCCGGCGCCCACCCCGCCCTCGGAGCCCAGGCGCCCGACCTGCACGACGCCCCCCGGGTTGACGCCGATCATCATGCAGATGCCGCGGAACGCCGAGTCCTTCTCCTCATTGTCCCGGATGTTCCGCAAGGACGTGCACCTGCGGGCGGGGAGCGGGTCAGTGGGCGGGCCTGGAGCTGTGGGTGCAGGGCGGGGGGGAGGGGGGGGGGCACGGGAGGGGGACAGGGGGGTACCCGGCAGGGGAGGGCAGAGCCCAGAGGGCAAGGGCAGGGCTGCCTGTCCCCCCACCCCAGCACCCCGCCCGGTCCCAGCAGGCCCTGCACACCCACCAAGGCCGGATGAACTGCTGGAGCATAGGAGCCACCTCCTGCGGGCACACGTAGCCCAGGCGGCCAATGGTGATGGCTGGAATGGCAGAGGAACTCGTCAGGCGACCTGCAACCCCGAGTGGCCCCGGGACGGTAGGTGGCAAGGCCTCTGGCACGAGGCACCGAGCCCCGCCCCATGGACCCCAAGGGAACAGCTCTTGGGGGCCAGCCCAGGGCCCCGAGCTTGGCCCAGCCTGCTTCCCTTCCCCAGCCTCCCCCACCTGGTGTCTCCCCAGGTCTCCTCCCAAGGGGGGCACCTCCCCTGGGGCTCCTTCCACAACTCCCTGTCAGGAGTCTGCAGACTTGGTTTTTTTTCCCCAGAGCCCAGATCTGGTGCCTACCTGTGTTTTCCAGCAGTGTCTTGGGTGTATTGGGCCGGTTAATGATCTCCACCAGATTGTTGAGGACCATCTGCACATAGGGTTGCATCTCTGCTCCTAAGGGACCAGTCAAAATCAGAGCCCCGCTAGGCCTCCCCAAGCTCCTGGGTCAGTCAGGAGTGAGGCCACCCTCATGTGATTCCTGTTCCACTCAGAGGACACAGGAATTTCCCCACACTCCCCAGCCCAAAACCCAGGGCTAACTTAAGAGACAGAAGTCACCCAACCAATCCCATTAGGCCATTCAGCCAACTACATCAACTGGTCCACTCCTCTCCTGCCTCTTTGGAGAAGCTAATCACAAAAAGGCCTTTCACCAGGGCGCCGGTGGCTCACGCCTGTCATCCTAGCTATTCAGGAGGCTGAGATCTGAGGATCGCTGTTCAAAGCCAGCCAGGCAGTAAAGTCTCTTATCTCCAATAAGCCACTAGAAAAAACCGGAAGTGGCGCTGTGGCTCAAGTGGTAGAGTGCACTCGCCTTGAGCTGAAGAGCTGAGGGACAGTGCCCAAGCCCAGAGTTCAAGCCCCAGGACTGACAAAAAGACCAAAAAAAAAAAAAAAAAAAAGCCTTTCAGTTATTTGACTCCCAATGTAAAACAGTCATTCTCTGGCCAATCAGCTGACTTCCCTGAGATCTGTCAGTCACAGCAAGACTCCGCCCCAAATTATGAACCGACCAATGGGGGAAGGCCTAGGCAATTGGCCAGGCACTCACCCATTTGCATGCAGATCTCACCGATGGCCCAGGTGGCATTGTTACAGACGGAAATGAACTCAGGGTTCAGGTTGGTGCCCAGGATGGGCATGAACTCGGCTGCTCAGGAGAGAAACGGGGCTAAGCAGGAAGGTAAGGCACCTGGAGCTCCAGGGCAAGGCTGGGCGGGACCCCATCAGACAGTACGAATACATCCCAGTTAGGTCATGGTCATCCCAGGGCATGTATCCATCACGCGAGGCCAGGGCAAGGCTCGGGTTCAGAGCAGTCGAGGTAGGTGGCTTACCAATACAGGGCTTGACATGGATGAAGCAGGCTTTGGTGAGATCTCCCAGAAGAGCAAACGAACTCTGCCGCACCTCAGGCATCGAGTCCTGGCACAAGAGGGAAATCCCGAAAACAGTACTTGACATTTTCTGATAGACCTGAGGTTTGAATCCAGGGCCACACCCTTGCTTATTAGCCTGGCAGTCTACACTTGAGTGATATGACTTCTAGAGGATGTTGGGTCCTATTTGAAGCACCCTTGTGGTTTGTGTGTGGTCACAGGTGTGCACGAGTATGTATGTATGCATGTGCACACACATTGTGGGTGCCAGTAGTGGGGCTTGAACTCAGGGCCTGGGTGCTGTCCCTGAGCCTCTTGGTGTTCAAGGCTAGTGTTCTACCACTTAAGCCTCAGCACCATTCCTGAATAGTTTATTGGAGATAAATAAGAATTTCGTGGACTTGCCTGCCCAAGCTGCCTTTGAACTACAATTCTATCCTCAGATCTCAGCCTCCTGAATAGCTAGGATGACAGGTGTGAGCCACCGGTAGCTAGCAGCCATGGTGTGCAGCCTGCGTGGAACACCCACGCACCTGCATACACTGGAAGAGCAGAGTCATGATGTTACTCCGGGCCACTAGCTGCTCCACATGGCCGCCCAGGCCCTCAGCCAGGCCGCTGAGCAGATCCAGTGCCACGATCATGAAATCCTTGTCGGGGGCCTCGTACTGCTCAGGGTGCTGGGTGTACATCTGCACACAGAATGGATGGGGAGGTCAGCGGAGCGGGGGAGGGAGTGGGCAGAGGCCTGGGCAGCAGCTGAGTGGGCAGAGAGGGGAGCCAGGGGTGCTCACCATGGCCTGGGCCAGTGTCTTCTGCACCAGGGTGACGCAGCGCTGGTACACGGGCTCGCAGTAGGGCAGGAAGCCACTCTGCAGGGCAGTGGCGACGGAGGACAGGCACTGGGAAGAAGGGCAGGAAAGGTGAGCTTAGGGAGAGACGGGGCGGGGCCGGGGGCGGGGCTCTGCGGCCGCTCACCTCCAGCAGGGGAAAGAGGTCCTTGTCCTCATCCTTCAGCTCGTTCCACTTCTGGATGAGCGGTGGCATCAGTTTCTGGATGTATTCCTGGAGAGGGAGAAGTCAGGCTCCACAGTAAGGGGCGTTGATTGGCTTGGCCCATTCCCTGAAGGGTGGGGTCCGGGACCCTTGTTGTGGGGGGGGGAGGGGAGGTTGCTCACCACACACAGCCATATCTGCTGGCTTTTGTCCTTCTCCCCCATGGGTCCCCGGCACACCCCCAGGCCTGGGCACACCCCTGGCACAGCACTCACCAGGCTGTCTGGCCTAGACTGGAGCCGGGGCTGGGGTGCTGGGGGGCGCTGGGGATGCTGGGGGCGCTGGGCGCCCGGCACCCTGTCCCTGGCATGGGGCGGAGGCCGAGGGGACTGCAGGAGGGTCTCACCGGCTGGTTGAGGTGATGGCCCACGGAGTCGGCCAATGTGCCGATGGCGTCGTAGAGGATGAGCAGATTCTTATGCTGGTACTTGCCGAAGGCGAAGACAAGGGTGTCCAGGATGTAGCTGAGGTAGGGCACCAGCTCCGTGCACGCCTCCTCCTCCAGGGTGGCGAAGGCACTGGAAGGAGGGAGAACGCAGGGAGGGCTCAGCGGACCAGCGCGCGTGGCTCTGGACCATGGGAGAGGAAGAGGCCCCACGCGGGATCAGCCAGTACGAATACGACAGAAATCAGTGCCACATCAGCAGTCACAGCAGTCATCCCTTCCCAAGGGGCAGGACAATGGGGGATGGGGAGGATATGCCATAGGTCAGGGGTCAGGGGTCACCTGCAGGCTGCCTCCTGCACCCTCTTGTTGCCATCCAGGATGCGTTTGAGTAGCTCTGTCATCAGAGGCTTGAGGTGCATGTCGGGAGGCTGGCTGACCACCCAGTGGGCGTAACGGCTCAGTGTCCAGCACGCGATGGAGCGGACCAGGGCCTTCTTGTCCGACAGGCACCGGATGAGGTGTGGGATCAGCTCGGGCAGGTAGGGCACCATGCCTTGCATACAGCCTTAAAAGCCACCAAGAGAGGGGACACGAGGTGTCAGGTGGACTGGGTACTGGAGCTACAGTACCCACACCCTTCTGGGAACGCAAAGACCACCTCCTGGCAGATGAGAAATTGAGGTTCAATCACTGGCCCAGAGACACTCACTCAGAGCCCAGGAAAAGAAAGGCAGGTGGTACTACCTTATCTGTTTATTCATTAGTTCAGAATCTTCACTGCATAGTGAACTAGGCTTCACAGGAGAGCCCCTGACCCAGCTAGAGGGAAATATTCTCATCCAAATTCTCCACGGCCCCTTGTGCTTTTCCTTTATTCTTTACTCTCTCTCAGCCATTTTCACGTTCTGTGCCTGGGTGCTGTTCCTGATCATTTTTTTGTGAGCACTCTACCACTTCTTGCATTTTTTGGAGATAACTGGCACTAAGAGTCTCCCAGATTTCCCTGTTCAGGCTGGCTTTGAACTGCAATCCTCAGATCTCAGCCTCCTGAGTAGCACCATATTTACTTTGTATTTTGGGCTGTCCTGAAATTGAACCTGGAGTCTGAAATTGAACCTGTGCTCCGAAGCAATTCACCCAGACCTCCCTACCGTCCTAGCTGTCTTGGCCGCCCCTGGCCAGGGGGCGCTGAGTCCCTGGCAGGGGGTGGGGTCCCTTGCACAGGAGACCCAGGACTCACCCTCGGCGATGGCACCCAGCACCAGGATGCCGGACTCCTTGACCACCCATTCGGGATGGAATAGGAGGCCCTTGAGCAGGGGGAGGAGGTGCGGGAGCAGTTCCTCCCGGAAAACATTGGCCAGGACGTCCAACGCAGCCGCAGAGCACTTCCCTGGATGGGGACAGTGGGGGGGGGGGGGGGGGGCCAGTCTCAGGGAAGGGAAGATCTTCACAATCTGCTCCCAGCCAGCCTGGCTCCCCCACGCCCACCCCCACCCCGGGAAGGGGGCTGGCCACCATGGCGGCCCCTGGGCTGGCCACGCACTCAGATTCCAGTCGGACAACGCATCGTCGTCATCGTCGTCCTCCGCATCTTCGGAGCCATCGGGCCGCTCGGCTTCGTGGGGCAGCGTCACTGTGCGGGACTTGTGGAAGCGTGGCTTGATGTCCTGCTCGCTGTCGGGGACCGCCTCGTCCTCTTCCACGTCGCCCTGGCAGGGAGGGCAGACAGGACGGCTCAGCACCAGGCGGTTCCCAGAGCCACCCCGTGCCCAGCACCCCCCCCCCACACACACTCACCTTGAGCAAAATGATATCGATTTCCGAGTACTTCATCCCATTTACAAGAGTGGGGATCAACCTATGTGGAGAGAAGATGACTGTTCATTCGGGGATGACTATGCAATGGGAGAGGGGGAAAAAAGAAGGCTGGGCAGCAGCACCAGAGAAGGGCAGATTGTGCTGGAAACCTATGCTGGGCACTGCTGTCAGTGCCCGCATCTCCCCAGGGAGGGGGCAGTTACCCCAGCCTAGTTTCAAGCATCAGGATTAGGGACACACCACTCTTTGTACCACGGGAAAGGAAGCTCTTGGCCTAAGCCTGGCTACTGGAAAACTCTCAGACCCCTGCACACACGGCAACTTCAGAACAGGATCAGGTTCCCTAGCACCACGTGTAGAAAGCACAAACATGCAAACTCTTATTTTTTAGTGTGTTTATTTTTGGTTGGTCCTGGAGCTCGAACTCTGGGCCTGGGGGCTGTCTGTCCCTGAGATCTTCAACTCAAGGCGAGTGGCGCTTAAGCCACAGTGCCACTTCCGGTTTTCTAGTGGTTCTTTGGAGGTAAGAGTCTCACAGACTTTCCTGCCCAGGCTGGCTTCAAACCACAATCTCAGATCTCGGCCTCCTGAGTAGCTAAGATGACAGGCATGAGCCACCAGTGCCCGGCTTCTGGGCCCTTGCGTGGGGCAGAGAAGCGCCAGACAAATAGGCAGGGCGGCTTCATTGCAAAGCTGGAGTTCAATTCTCAGAGGGCCTCCTGTGCCCGCTTCAACATGGTTCCCTCGTCACTTTTCCAGAAGCCTCCTTCCCTGTGGCCCCACTCACCATTTTCCACAATAGTTCAGAAAAGCTAAGGGATTCCAATAGGTTAAGGGTCAGCTCTGAGGAGTTTGGTTAGACAGTTGAAGCCAGGGCCTGGAGGCTCACGGCTGTAATCCTAGCTACTAAGGTGACAAGAGATCTGAGGATCGAAGTTCAAAGCCAGCCTGGGCAGGAAAGTCCATGAGATTCTTTATTTCCAATTAGCCAACAAAAGGCTGGAATTGGAGCTGGAGCTCAACTAGTAGAGCACTAGCCTTCAGTGAAAAACTCAGGGACAGTGTCTAGGTGCCCTGAGTTGAAGCCCCAGGACACAGGCACGCACACACACAAGATAGCAACTGTAAGAGACAAGTCTTTACTTTGGCTTTCCTATACTGGAAGGATACAGAGGGCCTAGCATTACCCTGGAAGAGCATACCTGAGAACAAAGCCCAGTGCTGGAGATCTAAAGCAGATCTAAAGCTAAGACACATGTGTTTATTATATCGTTTGGGCACCTGGATCTAGTTGTGCCTGAAGCCATGGTTGGTCTCTCACTTCTTTTTTTTTTTTTTGGTAGGTGGGGGGGCCTGAACTCTGGGCCTGGGCGCTGTCCCTCAGCTCTTCAGCTCAAGGCGAGCGTTCTACCACTTGAGCCACAGCGCCACTTCTGGTTTTCTGGTGGTTTACTGGAGATAAGAGTCTGCACAGACTTTCCTGCCCAGGCTGGCTATGAACCATGATCCTCAGATCTCAGCCTCCTGAGTAGCTGGGATGACAGGCGTGAGCCACTGACAGCCGGCTCACTTCTAACAGTCAGTTACCAATTTTTTAAAAAGTCAGTTAAAGCTTCTTGCAAAGTCGCCTGACGCTGTGGTTTTCTGCAAGCTCAAGGGGTGACCAGAAAAGGAAAGGCGCAGGCATGGGGTGGGGTGGGTCAGGACGCCACTCACTGGACCAGATGGGAGGCCAGAACTTCCTTGCAGATGGGTTGCTCGGCCAGCGTCAGCCAAAACTCACAGGCCTCCAGGGCCACGTTCTCGTCATGGTCCTGGGTCCGCTGGAGCATGTACTGGGGCAGGGGAGGTGGAGAGGGAGAGGCTGAGTCCAGCTGGGCTTCAGGAGGTTCCCGTGCCTCGGCCAGCCCCTCCTGCCCTTGGCTGTGACCTTGACCATGCACACCTGGATGATGCTGTGCATGTGGGGGATGAGCCGGTCAATGCGCACTTCTAGAAGCATCACCAGGGCACGGCATACATTCTTCCGCACCTCGGGGTCGTCATCCACAGCCAGGGCGAACAGGTGCTGTGGGGATGGCCAGGGTAAGCTACTTAAGAAGGGCAGGGTGGGGGAAGCCCTCTTCCTGCCCGCCCCGGCCAGATGGCATACCTCGATGAAGGTGTCAATGTTATCCATCAGCGCCTGGGCTCGGTCCATGATGAACTGGTTCACACAGGCGATGGCATGGGACCTGGTGAGGAGTGGAAATGGGGCTCAGCCCCCCTCCCCCGCCAACCCTGTCCTCCAGCTCGGAGCCCCTGGGTTGCCTTGGGGAAGCCACACCCACCGGATCTTGGGGCTGCAGTGCTTAAAGAACTGCAGGAACTTGGGGATCATGATGTTGAGCGGCCTGTTGAGCGCATCGCTGTCCAGGAGTTCAGAGGAGTCTTCACAGATCTTCTGCAGGGCTCCGAAGGCTCCCTGGGTGGATCGGAGCAGACAGATGTGGGGGGCAGGGGGTGAGGCCTTCTCCGGGCGCGGGCCCCTGCTAGGGTGGGGCCACAGCTTGTTGCCTACCTCACAAGTGTTGTAATCCTCCGAGTTGAGCAGGTTGCATAACTGGGGCAGCAGCTCAGGCCACATCTGCAGCTCACCCTTGGAAGCGATGGTGGTTATAAGAATACCTGGGCAGCCGGGGAGAGGAGGCTGCCTCAGGCTGGGCAAGGGCCTGCCTGCCCCTCCATGCTCCCCACTCCTCCCCAAGATGAACCCACCCAGCCCCTTGCTGCTGCTGCTGATGTTGTTTTTCCTGTCTTCCTCTGGCTAGGACCTCAGCCGGGCAAGGTAAGAACTTGGCCGCTGGGCACGCTCTAGCCCTGATAGGGCAGGGGACAGGGGAACTGGTGTGTGGGGGGGGGGAGACCCACAGGGATGATACACTCGCTGACTCAGCACACATCCTCTGGGCCCCACAAGCCAGCCAGTTCTGTCCAGGCCCTGGGATATAGTCCAGCCCCAAACACCAAAGCCTGTTCTAGGAGAAGAGAAGAACAGGGTGGTCATAGGCTGAGGGCTGAGTAACTGGGTGGACACAGAAGGCCTCAACAGCTGATGCCCTCGCATGAAAGGCCTGAGAGAACAGAAACCGGCCAGGGACTTTGGAGAAAGAGCATCTCAGCCAGAGGGATGGACCAGCGTCAAGGCCCTGGGGTTGAACAGGCTCTCACAGCGGGGAAGAGAAGCGGAGAGTGAAGGGAAGCCACAGCAGGACGTGAGAGCAGGGAGATGGCAGGACAACTTGTGTAAGGCTTTGTGGCTGCAGGTAGGACTTTACAGACTAGTGAAACTCCCGAGGCATTGTGAGCTGTTAATGCCACTCACCACCACAAGATGGCAGTGTTTCCTACCGGTAGGGGTGGTCACCTTACCCACCCTCCCCTGCTTTCACCCTTCTATGGAAAGAGCCACCAGCCTCCTCCCTACGATCCCAGCACTCAGGAGAGGCTGAGGCAGGAGGATCAAGGGTTTGAGGTCGGCCTGAGTTATATGGCAAAGAAAGCTACCACCCTCCTAAGATTCACCTGGAGGCTTCTATGAAAGCGTCCTCCAGGGAACGGTTCGATAGTGCTTCCTAGAAAAACGGATACATCCTCTCATAGACTTCAAATGGATTCTAGAGAGCTCCTTAATGCTAAGTAGTGACAAGAAAAAGACTTCCCATGTTCAAAACAAGTTGCTGCTTCTGAGTAGTTTTGAACCTGTGGCTGTAGAAGCTGAGGACGTGTCAGCAGAGTCTGCCACCTAGAATGAGCTCTAAAACCTTCCATGGCCTCAAGCAGGAAGCTACAAAATCAGCACATTTGTCAGGCCCAAGCATCCAGCACAAACACTATTTCTATTTATTATTGGTTTTTTTTTTTTGTGCCAGTCCTGGGACTTGAATGCAGGTCCTTGGCACTGTCCCGTAGCTTTTTTTTTCTTAAGGCTTGAGTTTAAAAAAGGGGGGTGGGGGAGGGGGAAGCTATATACAGCTCCACTTCTGACTCTGGCAATTAATTAATCATAGCCAGGTGCCAATGGCTCACTCTCCTAGCTACTTAGGAGGCTGAGATCTGAGGATCACCATTCAAAGTCAACCTGGGTAGGAAAGTCCGTGAGACTCTCGTCTCCAGCAAAAAGCTGGAAGTGGAGTTGTATGGCTCAAATGATAGAAGGCCAGAATTGTGGGGGGAAAGCTAAGGGACAGCGCGTAGGCCCTGAGTTCAAGCCCCAGGACCAGGAACAAACAAACAAGACCCTGAACTGGCAGCTGACCGGCTGCCTAAGCCAGGACAAAGCTGAAAAACCAACCCCCACTGCCCTTCTCACCGATGGTAGCCCGGATGAGCGAGGAGGCATCGCCAATGTTGTTGAGACACTCCTGCTTGATGAAGTCAGCCACAGGTGGTGGAAAGCTCTGGTAATGTGCTTTCACGTTGTTTTTGAGGATGAGCCCACTGAGAGACCGGGTTGGCTCATCTGGGGGAGAGAGGACCAAGGTTCAGGGGTCCATCACGAAGAGAGGCGGGGCAGGGCCAGAGCCAGGGACTGGCAGGACATACCTTCTGATTTGAGCCTCGTCAGGACAAAGATTAGGTAGTTGTTGAAGTCGGGGAATTGGTTGAGTTGCTTGAGTTTCTGCCAGGCTGTTAAGGGACTTGGGAGACAAAAGCTTTCCACGCGGGATGTCCTGTCTCATAGGTGCCACTAGTGACCAGCGAAATCTGGCAGCAGTGTAATCTAGAATCCCACTGACCAAGCCCTCTGCCCAAGTCCCCCTCATAGATAGGGAAAGGTTTCCCACATGGATCACAGTGGAATGCTAAGGGACCAGCCTAAGACAGCAGCTGCTGCTCCCTGGGCCAGCACACTGCTGCTGGAGCTACAGCTCCACTTCTGGGTTTTGGGTTGTTTTTTTGGATGACAAGTCTCACAGACTTTCCTGTCCTGGCTGGTTTTGAACTGCAATACTCAGATCTCAGCCTCCTAAGTAGGAATATAGGCATGAGCCACTGGTGCCCGACTTCAAACAAGTTTAATTTAAAGCCTAAACAAAACCCAAGACCAACTCAAAGTGCACCCCACTTCCCTGGGGGGGGGGTGCATCTTCCCAAGTCTGACAGGACAGAGTAGAACGCACGTCTGAGTGGGAGGGACCACCAGCCCCGGCACTAGTGTTTCCTAGCTGCTGCCTTTATTAAATTGGTTGGTCTTTGTCTCTCTGAGTCTCCAGGCTCCCATCTGTTAAATGGGCAGAACAACAGATCCCCACTGTGTAAGTTAAGCAGCAAATACTTCTTGAGTACTAGGAGTTCCCACGGTTTCTCCTAACAATGGCTGCAACAGCTCTGGGAACTGGACCCAGGGATTCAAAGCACTAATTTAGTCTCCAGACCATGCTGGTTTGTTGTGGGGTTTTTTGTTTGTTTGTTCTGCTTTGTTTTTGATGTTGGTCCTTGGGCTTGAACTCAGGGCCTGGGCGCTGCCCCAGAGCTGCTTTTGCTCTACCAACTTGAGCTACACCTCCATTTCCGGCTTTTGTGCTGGTTAACTGGAGATTAAGAGTCTCCCAGACTTTGCTGTCTGTCCAGATTGCTTTGGAACCACAATCCTGAGTAACTAGGAATGCGGGGTGTGAGCCACACCAGCCTCAGGCTTCATGCTGTTCCTTTCCCACAAAGGGGGTTTGGGTCAGGAAATGAGCCCTGCTGGCTTCCCCCAGGTCCGGGAAGGAAGGAAGGATACATCCTGCACGATGCGCTGCGTGGCTGTGTTGGGCGACTGCGAGTCTTTGAGCAGCTGCAGGACCTGCTGCAGGCCTTGTTCGTCTGGCTGCCAGTCCATTGCGCAAGGGGAGCTGCGGGGCCGGGGCCGGGGTCAGCGCTACACCTCCGGGGCTCCGTGTGAGACTCGGGTTGAGCCCCCGAGGGAGGGTGGCCGCAGGACGGCGGGAGCGGCCGGGCGGAGGCCGTCGATCCACGCCCGCCCGGGTGCGGGGTCCCCGCCAGCTGCGCCATCCCCGGCCGCGCAGTGGCGGGCTTGGGAGCGCGGGGGGGGGGGGGGGGGGGGGGGTTCGGAAGCCCGCCACGGCCGGCGGCGGAGGCGCGGCCCGGCGGATCCTCATCGGAACCAACGTGGAGCCCTCTTCCCAAGGCGGTCCATGCCGTCGCCGCCCTCGTCCGCCGGCCCTAAGGTTTGCACCTCCCTCGCAGCCCCAGGCCGCGCGAGCGCCCCGGCCCCCTCGTGCAGGCGAAGTCCGGGGAGATTCCCCTTCTCCGAAACCGGCCTCTCAGACTCCGCCAGACCCCAGCTGCCCCCCCCCCCCCCCGATCGGAGCCTGGTCCCTGCGCGTCCCCAGGTGCACGGTCCCCGGGCACGATCCCCATCCCCGCCGCCTCCCCTAAACCTGCCCTTCAGGCCCCGCGGATGCCAGATGCCGTCCTCCCGGCTTAGCTAGGCGCGGAGCAGCGGCTCCCCAGAACAGGACGGGGAGCAAACGCCACAGAGGTCTCCGCGGCCTCCGAAGGAGAAATCAGCCCAACCCGGGACAGAGCCCCCCACCGCACCCCAGCCCACCCCCAGGACTGGTTCCCACCGCTCGTCCCCATCAGGACGGACCAAGCCTCTCCCGCTCCCACCCTCCGCCCGCCCCACTCAGCAGTAACGGGAGGAGGGGTCGAATCGGTGCGTCTCCCCCCCCCCGACTTCCGCCAAGCCCCCCACCTCCTGGAGCCGGAAATCCCCTCCCTCACATTCCAAAAGCTTTTCCTAATCAGCCCCGGCCCAACCCCACCCCCCCACCCCAAGCTGGGACATCAGACCCAGCAAAGCCCTCCAGGCCGAAGCCCGACGCCCCTCGCCACCAGGGCCCGAGAAGCTCCCCTCTCAACTTGCATGCGGCTTCTCCCACTCAGATGCAACCAAGCCCCGCCGAACACAGGCCCCGCGCACACGCCGATCGCCCCGCCATCACCGTACCCCCGCCGGCCCGGCTCCCCCTAGCCTCGCGGATCGGGCCCAACGGGGTTCCCGGCCTTTCCCGGTCGGGCGCGGCCCCGACGCTAGGGCCGCGCACGGCGCAGGCCCAAAGCCCGGCGGGGGTCGACGCAAGCCGGAGCCGAGCGGGTCCGGATCCTGGGTGAGGCCCACTTACCAGGCCCTGAGCGGCGGCGGCGGCGGCGCCTAGCGCGGCGGCTTCTCCTGAGACTCGCACGGAAGGAGGGAACCGGAGAGAAGGAATTAAATAAAAAAAAAAAAAGGAGGGGGGGGAACGCCGCCGAAAATGAACCGCCGCGGCCCCCGTAGTCCTTTCAAATTGACCCAACTGGGCCAATCAGAAAGTGCAACCGTGACGCGCGACCTGACATGAGCCCCGGGCAAGCCGAGTCACGTGACGGGGGAGAGGCCGCCCCTCTAGCCAGCGGGTCCTCCCAGCGTCTCGTTTCCCCAGTATCCCACAACGGCGTGGCCAGAATTCTTGGCTGGAGCCGGGGATTTGGCAGAACGTGTGGACTGGTGGTGTGTGATGGGCCCTGGAATCCCTGGGGCGGCCCAACTGCTGCGCTCCCTCCCCTCCCCTTCCCCGGGAAGTGGATGACTGAATTTGCCCCATCGAGAGGGTACTTGGGAGCCCCCCACCAAACGCACAGAAGTGCAGAGGGACCAAGTCCTGGGTGGACTTCAGACGCCAGAAACAAAGGAAAGAAAGCTGGCCCCGCTTCTGTTATTTTCCAGTACTTAAAAAAAGGTGCAAGGGTGTTTTAAACAAATGAGTTAATAAACTCACCCGAAGGCTTAACCCTCTCCCTTACCTGAAGTTGGATGAGATGAAATCCCTTGTCCAGGAAACTTAGGCGAAGGCAGTGTCAGGATGAAAGAAATTCATGGTCCTCAAGCCATCTGAAGAGAGCTGGGCAGTTTTCCCTTCTCTCTGAGAGCAAAGCGTTCTGGGAAGAGTTGCAGACCCTGGAGGGGGGGGGGGGTAACCTACTGCTACTCCAGGATCAATTTCCCCAAGAGGGTAAGAATAGTGTACTCCTTGAGAGATAATCCAAGTTAATATTACCTGACCATCTGCAAATTGTTCTTTGAAAATCGTGGTCTTTACCCTTAAGCCTCAAGCACGTCCTTTCCCTGTATTGTCTCTTCCTAAATCAATATTGACTGAATCAATTGGAGCTCTAATCCCAAAGGAGAACCCAGCACTTCCCAGCGGGACTTTTTGACCCTGGGTGAGACATAAATCAATGTTGGCTCCGACTTGTAAAACATAAAAAAAAAAAAAAAAGAGGAACAGATTTCTCAGCCCAATTCCGGTGGGCAAAGACACTCATGAAACCCTGGCATTAGGGCCTCCCGGATTAGGAAAGGGTCGCCTGGCGCCTGACTCCACTCCGCGACTCAGGAAAAGGAGCAAAGATTCCCACCGACGCCAGCTACGCTACTCAAAAACACACGTGCGTGCAGGCGCCACGTACGCATGCGCTTACCTCGCTCCCCCCCCCCCTCAGCCCCGCCCCGACCCCGGCGCGCGCGCGCTGAGAGCCCGGAACTACAAATCCCGTGGTGCCTCGCGCTCACACCGCCGCGCTTAGGGGCTCTGGCTGAGAATCAAAAAGTAAGGAGATGCCGGGCCGGCTCTGAAATCGCTTTAAGCAGAGCGGTCTGTCGGCGTGAGGCTGGATTGGAGAGCTACTGGGAGAACTGAGAATTCCATGCACTTGTTGGTTCAGCCGGGCACTGATGTGCAACAGACAATTCAATATGTGTAACCCCTCCTTCCCTTCCTTCTTGCCTTCTTTTCTTTCTTTCATTTTCAAGACAGGTTCTCATTACCTAGCCCAGGCTAGGTTAGAGATCCTTCTGTCTCAGCCTCCCAGAGTTGGGATTATAGGCGTGTCCCACCACATCCAACCTCACCCTTCTTTTTGATGTGTGGCAAGTTTTCACCTGCCCTGTGCAAGCCTTGGGTAGTTGCAGCAGAGCAAAGTGGCTCTTGCTGCCATGTATTGCCTACATTGCTCTCGAGCCTCCTGGTCAGAGAAACTCCCAGATACACAATTTGGATGTCAACAAGTTTCTTCATCTGTTTGTTCGATATGAAGCGCTCCTCCCACTTCCGCCTCCTGAGTAGCCAGGACTATAAGCATGCACTACAACCACCACACCTGACTCTTATTTTCTATGCAACCTATTATCTGAAAAGCGGTTTCCAAATGTTAAACCTCATAAGATTCTCACAACAGCCCAAGTATGGCAAACTTAACTGAAAGCATGCAGGCAAAATGCAGGGAGCCGGTGCTCAACTGACTCTGGGATGAAATGAATGAGAGAAATGTGCTCTGTTTACAAACCTCCCTGCCTGCATCTCCTCACACTGAATTATTGGGGTGGGGGGCCTGCAGTGTAGCTCAGTGGAACAGCCCTTGCTTATTGGCATGTAGAGATTCTTGGGTTCTGTATCCACCCACTAAAAATAAAAATCAGCAGGGTGCCAGTGGCTCAGGCCTGTAATCCTAGCAACTCAGGAAGCTGAGATCTGAGGACTACGGTTCAAAGCCTGACTGGACAATAAAGTCCATGAAGCCTCTTATCTCCAATAAACCACCAAAAAACCAGAAGTGGTACTGTGGCTTAAGTGGTAGAGTACTTGCATTGAGCTGAAGGGCTCAGGGACAGCGCCCAGGCCCAGAATTGAAGTCCCACGACTGACCAATAAAAATTAATTTTTGGGAGAGGGGCTCTTGCTTACTACTGAGCTCTAGTAAAATCAGTATTTTCTTTTGGGGGGCAGAGAGGAGGTTCTGTGGTTTGTGATCTCAGGGCCTACATGCTTGATAGTTTCTGTATTATTTGAGCCAGACCTCCAGCCCCCTCAAAATCAATATTTATTAAATACAGCTGAAAACATGTAGGTCTCCGGTGGCTCATGAGAAGCTGAGATCTAAGGATCACAGTTCAAAGCCAGCCCAGGCAGGAAAGTCTGAGACCCTTACCACCAATAAACCACCAGAAAACTAGAAGTGGTGCTGTGGCACAAAATGGTAGAGTGCTAGCCTTGAGCAAAAAAGCTCAGGGAAGCCAGGTGCCAGTGGCTCATGCTGGTAATCCTAGCTATTCAGGAGGCTGAGATCTGAGGATCACGGTTCAAAGCCAGCTCAGACAGGAAAGTCCATGAGACTCTTATCTCCCATGAACCACTAGAAAACTAGAAGTGGTAGTATGGCTCAAAGGCAGAATGCTAGCATTGAGCTGAAGAGCTGAAGGACAGCGCCCAGACCCAGAGTTCAAACCCCAAGACAAAAAGGAAAAAAAGCTCAGGGACAGCGCCCAAGCCCTGAGTTCAAGTGTACGATGGATAAAAGCAAAAAAACTAAAAAACCACATGTAGGTCAGTGGTACAGCACTTGCATAACAGGCATGAGGCTCTAGGTTCTAATCCCTAGCACTACAAAACAAACACAGCCCTCAAACACAAACCATATCCACCCACAGAAGCATTAATAGTAGTTTCAAACAATGTCAAAGTTATATCAGTATGCTCTTTCATTTTTTGCCATGCTGGGGTCTGAACTTGGGGCCAGAACACTCCCCCTTAACATTTTTGTTCAATGATGATACTCTACCATTTAAGTCATACCTCCACTTCTGGCTTTTTGATGATTAACTGGTTGGAGATAAGAATCTCATGGACTTTTCTGCCACAGCTGTGAGGCACTGGCATCTGTTTTTCTTTTTTGTAATGCTGAAAATCAAACCCAATTACTACCAGTGTCAGGCAAACTCTTATCACTGAGCAACACTTGACTTTAGAGATGAAAAATAGATGAAGGCCTGAACCACAGAAAGGCCAGGCACTAGACTAATGGCTCCCTCCTAAAATCTAACTACTCAGGAGGCTGAGATCTGAGGATCACATTTGGAAGCCAGTCTGAACAGGCAAGTCCATGACTTTTTGTTGTTGTTGGTCATGGGCCTGGGCCTGGGCGCTGTCCCTCAGGTCTTCAGCTCAAGGCTAGCGCTCTACCACTTGAGCCACAGCACTGCTGGCTTTTTCTGCTTAGCTGGTGTTGAGGAATCAAACCCAGGGCCTCATATACACCAGGCAAGCACTCTACCACTGAACCACCTTCCCAGCCCCAAGTCCACGACTCTTATACCCAAATAACCACCAAAAAACCAGAAGTGGAGCTGTGACCCAAGTGGCAGAGCACCAGCCTTGAGCAAAAATGCTAAGGAGCCAGGCGTCGGTGGCTCATGCCTGTCATCCTAGCTACTCGGGAAGCTGAGATCTGAGGATCACAATTCAAAGTCAGGCCAGGCAGGAAAGTCCATGAGACTCTATCTCCAATAAACTACTCAGAAAACCGGACGTGGTGCTGTGACTCCAAGTGGTAGAGTGCTTGCCTTGAGCTGATGAGCTGAGGGGCACTGCCCAGACCTAGAGTTCAAGCCCCACAACTGGGAAAAAAAAAAAAATGCTAAGGGGCAGTCTCCAACTTAAAGCCATAGCACCAATACACACATGCACACATGTCTAAGTGATTATAGACTATCACACAGCTAACAGGCACTAAAACAAGATTGAAGCCCTATTGACTCACCAAAACTTAATGCTCCTCTTCCTTTACTTCTCCAGGGTTACTGACAGGGTGGGGGAGTACCACAAGCAGTGTCTCTAGCAGCTCCAGAATGGAGGCCAAGCTAGTATAGGGGCGACCTACTTCTCTCACTTGTTTCTTTTTAAAGATCCAGCGGCTGTTGCTGGCTTGGGGGAGGAGATGGTGGTGGCAGCCTTAGCTTCCCTGGTCCCTCCCCCACCTGCCATGCCCCAAGCCCAAATCATACCTGGGCCCACCCACCGACTCCCCTAAAGGAAGAGACCTTTGAGCCTTCCAGGAAAACAAACCAGACTAGCCTTAATGTGTGGTTGCAACAGTGAAGGAAGGCCAACTGTGGGTTTCAGTTAAGGTCTGCACCTGTCCCTGGACGTGGGCATTCTCCAAGGACACACCTCCTTCAGGGCTTGAAATGATTGTCACTTTGGTCATCCTGCCCAATCTGCATACATTTGACCCCCTCTTACTCTCATCTGAAACCTCTGTGGGTAGAATGTCAGACCCTGATATGTGGCCTTGGGAGATGTTCTTCTGTTCATTTCTGGGCCGTTCCTCCCCAGCTACAAACACAAGGGCAGACATTTTGTCTCTTGGGGGTAGCAGCTGTGTCACCACGGAAGCAGGTATTCAGAACTCGTTTTGTGGTTTCGTTTCTGGTGTTTGGGTCTATAGCCCCAAGCTGGCCTCTTCCTCTCAAGCACTGTACTACAGATGTCACCAAGCTTACTGCTTCGGACAGAATCTGAGGCTAGGGACCCACCTCCACCCTCTCCCAGGCCCACAGCTGCCTGCCCTTCCTGGCAGGCCCCATCAGGGCCGCTCCTGCCCATGTATGTGTAACACAGGCCCATCCTTCTACTTGGGCCGCCCATCCTCACCTCCCCCAGGACCGATCGGATGTCAAGTGAAATAAACCCGGCCATACAAGCCAGCCTCCACTCTGTCCTTATTACCAGTCCTGCTCCAAAACAGCTTCAGCTGCACCCAACCTCAAGGGCAGGGAGAGGGAAGTCTGTTCTCACCTGTGACCCCATGGCACAAAGAACAGGGTGGGCATATAGTGGGACTCGCTGTTAAGTATCTGCTGAATAAGCAAAATAACAGCTCTGGCCCAGCCAAGACGGCAGATGTGTGGAAATGAACGTGCAGTGAGTGTGGAGGATTAAACCCGG